GGGAAGCCAGAAGGGTGCTCCAGGTAGGAGGGAGGCTGAGACAGCCTGGTGCTCTCGGAGCTGGAGATGCCCTGATCCCTGGGTGCGTGCCGGCCAGTGCCGGGCTTGAGGTCAGAGAGCCGTGACAGCTCACTGCCGTAGCCTCCTCAGCTCTGACTGCTTGAAGGAGGTTGATACAACGCCCCATGACTCTCGGGCAAGTGTGAGCTAGACAACATTGAGGCTTCAGAGTTTTGTGCTTTCTGGTCACCTGGCCAGCGGAGAGAGCTGCTAGTGAGCCTGAAGGTGGCAGGGCTGGTGAGGGATGAAGCAGGGCCAGAAGGGTGGCTCACACAGTTCCTGGATCCCTCTAAACCTGAATGTGTCACGGGGACACTTTCTGAGCCTACGCTTCCTTCTCTGCAGCAGGTGCTGTAGTCCGACTTTGGGAGGTGACATGGGAGAAGGTGTGTCAGTACTCTGGAAACCCTTCCGACGGCCAGGACGGTGTCCACCAGTTGACAGAGCCTGGGTCCTCCAGGACCTCCTAGGAGCCAGGAGTGGGGGAGAGGCCCTGCGGCAGGAACCAGGGAGGTTGCCCCAAGAACCGATGTCACCTGCCTGCCACTCAGGACAGCCACACCAAGCCCTGTCTCGTTGGCCCCCAGAGGGAACTGAGCTCAACTCCTCTCCTCCGGGGCTGGTTCCAGGACGGAAGTGCTCCTTTTAAAGCCAAATTACTTACCTAATTAGGTGCTTGGGAGCTGGCAGGAGGCAGTGGGGGTTTTGTTGATTTTTTTTTTTTAGACTTTTAGCACTGAAGCTTCGTGATAAGGTGAGTGTGTAATTAGGAATTAATTTCTCACTCCAGAAAGTGATGTCTTGTTTGGGGCCCGAGGGAAGTCAGCTGGGTGGCTCGTCACCCACTCAGTGGCCCCTACCTTACCTTGCCTTTCTCTGGACCCAGGGCCCACACTATCCTCAGAGTAGGAGGAGGAGGGGAAGATGGTGTTTTCCTCACAGGTGGCCTGGGCCAAAAGTGGGAGGCGTTATTCACAGTAGCTGGGGGCAGCTGTTCGTGTGTGGGTGTGAACTGGTGTGTGAAGGCCTGAGGTAGATGGGCAGGGGCTGCCCCGCATGGGGGGCGCTGCCTCAGCCGGTCCCACCCACCACAGCAGGCGGCTCCCGGCCCTCTGGCAGCCTCCCATCTCCCTCCTGGCTGGTGAGAACCGGTCACCAGCTCCACAGGAGCTGTCCTTCCTCCCTTCAACCAGCTGATGTCACCCCAGCCTCCACCCTGTGAGGCTCGACCTCTGAGGCCCCATCTGCACAGGCTCAGGGCCTCTGGGTGCCTTTGCACCAACAGCCCATGAGGTGACCTCCCGGTGACCAGCTCTCCTTTGGCTTCTCCCCCCATCCCCTCCCTCCCTGTGCTTCCTGGAGTCGCCTCCCAAGTGAATGCCTGTCCCCATGCCCTTGCTCCCGCTCAGCTCCTGGTAAGAGCAGTTTGGAGGGAGCTGGAACGGAGCAGTGGAGTGGCGCAGTACAGGTAGAAGAAAGGCTCCCTGGAGGGAGGCTGAGGGCAGCAGGAGGCTGAGCTCAGTGTGGCTGGTAGGGACAGGGCCTGGGGAGGTGTGTAGAGGCCAGACTGGGAGGCCTCGAAGGCTGAGGTCAGGGCCTTGGGCTTTGTTCTAAGGGCATGTGGGAGCCTTGAAGGGTTTAGAGGAGGAGAGTAACACAGACTGGATTTCTAGAGTGTTTGTGCTGAGTGCGCATGGCAGGGGGACGAGGAAGCAGGAGGCAGGGCAGGCGGGAGGCTGCGGCAGCTGTTGGGTGAGAGGGCTGGTGACACAGTCTGGGACAGGGGTGGCTCAGCTGTCAGCAGCTGTGTCAGGGTGGGGTTGTTGGCACAAGTCACCAGCAGGATGGTAAGGTTCCCAGGACAGAGGTAAGCTGGCAGCTCCCGGTCTTCCTGGGTTCTCCTCATTCTTGTCCAGTGTTCCCTTTCCTGTCCTTGTCCTGTCAGAGAGGAATGAGAACCACTGGCTTCTTCACTGTGCACCTACGAAGTGCTTCCTGTTCACCGTGTGCATTTCAACCAGTAGCAGAGCCCCCCGATAGGGTCATGAAATGTAGGAGAGAGAGTGAAGACTTAGGAGATGTGTTTAGGCAGATGGATTCTCTGGAAGGAACCACAGTGTCAAGATCTTTCCGGCTCTAAGGACTTAGTATCTAGTAACATCTCATTTCCCCTTTCCACTTGGCTGCCAGTAAGCTCAGAGCTAAGATCTCAACACTAAATTCTATAAGAAATTTTCCTTAGGGGGTACTTTTCATTGGGAAACCTGAGGGCTGCAACCAGTGAGGTCTCAGGGGAATTTTTGCAGCAGACTCTGGAAAGTGCATTTCCACCCTGGAAAGATTAGGGCTGGAGTGAAGGAAAGGGGCTCCGGGTCTGCCCCACATGGATCTGATCAGACTCTGAGGCCCTTTGGGAGTCCCCGGTGCACTGCTAAGTGGTGACTGTTTCAGGTCCTCTCTGCAGGGGTCACCAGTCTGGGCAGGAGCCCTGAAGTCGCATCAGCCTTGCATGGCGAGGTGGAGTCTGGGAGATGTTCACTACCTGGGCAATCCTGGGCCTCCACGACACGCAGTCACAGCTTGCTTCTCATGCAGGACCCCTGGGCCAGCCACTCCCCACTGCCCCTTGTGAAGAAACACAGAATGCCAGCAAATACCACTTCTCACGGAGACGCCCTGCTTGAGGCAGGGCAGCCTCGCCCCCGGCCCAAAGGGACACTGGCCCCAGGCATCGTGGGGCAGGCATCAGGGAGAGCCAGTGGTCATCCTGAGACCTCTGCATTGCGTGTGGCTGTGGCTTGTGACTGGGGGTCTGTCCTGTTTGGGGCTAAATGAGACATTGGGGCAGGGCCAGGGAAGTGGGACGCCCTTGAATGGGGGCCTCAAATGGTGTGATACAGGCCATCGGCGGCGACACAGGGAGGTCATCAGGACAACACCTGGCTTCCAGTCACTGCAAAGCACACATTCACTGTTACCCTGAGCTTTGCTGGCTGGGCGCAAGCCCCAGTGGGCACTGCCAACACTAGGCGGGATCCCCTCTGGGCCATGGGACACAGGACATGGGTGGATGGGCCTGGTGAGGGCTGGAGACCCTAGCATGCCCAGCAAAGTTCACCTGAGCCTGGGGGCCAGAGGTGGTGCCCATGCCTGGCAGGATCCAGGGACCTGGGTGCAGGAGGAGGGTCTGTGTGTGGGGTGGGGGGGTGCAGCTAGGCTTGGGTGCCTATGCAGGGGCTCCCCAGGCCCCGGATGTGCGTGTGTCGGAGTGAGCCCCTGTAAGTGCTTCCACACGCTGCCCCCACAGCGCCTCTGTCACACGCGTCTCCCTGGAGAGCTCTTTCTACAAAATTCAAAGATGACAGCTTGGCACACCCACGCAAGGAATCCTCACCCAGCCCCACTCCCTCACTGTGGCCCCTGGGCCCCTCCACCCTCGCCCTGTCTTCAACCCCCTCAGTCCCCCGGGTCTCTGTCTCAGGTTCTAGTCTGTCACTTTCTGGGTCACCCCTGTCTGAATTTGAGCTGGGTAGGAGGGTGCATGTGTTCATGATGGTGTCCGAGGAGTGAGTGTGTATATGTGTGTGTGTGTGTGTGCGCGCACAGACGGTTGTGTGCAGGTGAGGAGAAGCAGGGGCGGGATGGGGCACCTCAGGCAAAGCAGCTTCTGCTCAATCAATCACTCTCCACTTGGCAGGAGGGGGTGGGACAGGACAGGTTTGCAGGCGGTGGGTGAGGACAGCCTTTGCTTCCTGCTGATGCTGACATGGGACTGGTGGAGCCCAGTGGGGAGGGGAGAGCTGCTGATTCTCGCCCAGTGGGGAGGGCTGTCCCTCGGTGGGGGCCAGATAGCAGGGGGCAGGTAGGATTTGGTAGAAGCACAGGGGAACATGGAGGGTCCCCAAAGATGGCTACGGGAGACCCCCTGGGGAGGCTGCCGCCTGGGGGACATGGATGGGTGTGGCAGCTCCCTGGGGAGGCTGGGGAGGGACCAGGGGAATGCTGAGGGGCTGATGTCTTTGCCTTTGTCTCCCTGCCTGGGTGCTCCCAGGGTGAGGGCTGTCCTGGGGGCTGGGATTCATAGGAGGGGGGTTCTCCCCAGGAGAGGCTCTGAGGCCCCCAGGACACCTACAGGAAAGCTCAGGCATGAGCTGGACAGGGATGGGGGAACCTTCCAGGCAGAAGGGACAGGGTGAGCAAAAGTCCCGGGCTGGGAGTGCAGGGAGCCCAAGGCTGGCATCCAGTGGGGCAGGTGCCCCTGAGAACCCATGAAGTACAGCATTGTACTTTTCTGCCATGTCCTGGGGACGCAGCCCAAGCCTCCCGACCTGCACAGGGCATGGCAGGGGCACAGGGCCAGACTTGGTGGGATTCCAAGCTCAGCCTATCCATTTTCTAGGTGACCCAGGACCCAGAAAGCCACCACTCTGAGCTTTGTCCTCTCTCCTGCAGATCAGGGCTTTGGGCCCTGGCTTGATGGGCTCCTGGGGGTAGTGAGGGGTTCACGGCATGGCTTCTGATGTGACTGGCATGGACAATCTCTGGGGAGTTGGCTTGGGGGCCCCTCAGCACCTCTGTTCTCCTCTCAGAAATGGGTCTAATAGGACAGTCCGGCAAGGTGGGGAGAAGCTCTAGAAGTCAGGGTTGACACAGGCTGGGATCAGGTGGACAGGCCTAAAGGGCTAGGGCTGCCTGGCCCAGGGCTGGCCTTGCAGTGGGGCTGATGCCTCTCTCCCACCCCCTTGGCCTCACTGTGTCTGGAATCCTCCCCACAGTTGGTAGTGTCTGTCACCAGGCCCATTTGCAGAGAGAGACAGAGGCCCAGGGAGATGGCCGAGGCCACGCAGTCTGAGGTGGAGTGGGTGTGGGTGGGCCGGGTGGCCAGAGACCCCTGCAGGGTCACATCTGCACTGTCTCTCACTCTGCCCCTCTCTCCGCAGGATGGTCGAGTACTCCCTGGACCTTCAGAACATCAACCTGTCGGCCATCCGCACTGTGCGTGTCCTGAGGCCCCTCAAAGCCATCAACCGTGTGCCCAGTGAGTCGCCCCTCCCTTTCCCCGACCCCTGGCCCTGGCCTGCCTGGCCATCAGGTTCATTCACTCCTGAGTTTGCTGTGCCAGGACAGAATTGTATTTGGGTGTGAAGGCCCTGAAACCTGAGTTTCAAAATAACTTGGATTGAAGCACCCTGGGGAGTCTTTGACTATTCAGGAACGAAAAGTGCCTTGTGGGGTGGACTTCTGAGACTTCCAGGGGTGCACAGGGATGCAGAAAGCTGCTTAGTGTGAAGGAAGGATGCATCCCACTGGGGCAGAGTCCTGACCCCTTACTTGTGCTGACTTGAGCTGTCACCACCCCACCTACAGGACCATGTACCACTCACCCTCTCCCTGTCCACCTGCTCACCCATCTAATTACCCTTCCTTCCTTCCTTCTATCCTTCCATCCACCCATCTATCCATCCATCCGTGCTCCCCATCCAACTCATCCATCCATCCACCCACCCACCCATCCATCTAAGCCATCCGTCCACCCATCTATTCATCCATCCATCTATCCACCTACCCACCCACCCTTCCATTCATCCATGCATCCATCCATCCTTCCCTCTTTCCATCTAACCCATCCATCTTCAATCTCAGTGTTAAGAGAGGTCATTTTGTTACCACAAGCCCTGATGTCTTCCTAGCTTTATCCTGTTTGGATCTCTGGGTCTGTGAGCCTCACAGTTGCCTTGGGGGTGGGGTGGGGTGGGCTGTTCTCAATTTAGAGATGGAAGCAGACTTGGAGACCCAGACACCCATTTGAGGAGCCACTGCCAGGGAGCAGCGGCTGCAGGGGCCAGTTAGGTCCTCAGTTCCTCCACTGCCCCGTGTCAGGAGTGGCCTGGGGACTGGAAGAGGGAGGAGGAGGATGCTGGCTGCAGGGGCCTTTCCACCCCTTAGTGGAGGACAGGAACTTGTGTGAGCATCCACCTACCCACCGTGGTCTGGGGACTTGGCAAAACGATGTCTGATTTAATCCCCTCATCAGCCTGTGTGACCCCCAGAGAGTTTAAGTCCCACAAGGTCACACGGCAATTCGAAGGCAGGGCAGCAATCGGAACAGAGTTCTGTCTGTCTTGTGCCTGGCTTGGCCCAGATCCTTGCTTCTCTTCCCTGCCTGAGCCTGTGTTTCCCGGGTGCACCTTGTCCCCTCTGCACAGTCAGCACAGCCTCCAGTCCCGGCCCTCCTTCCCACTCGGCCCCTTCCCTGCCATCTTCTGCCCCTGCCCGGGGGCGCTGGCCTGACTCTGGCCTCGAAAGCCTGGACTGGACATTTTCAGAGCAGGGTGATCAGGAAGAGGCCGGAGCTGGCTGGGGCCAGAGGGTGGCCTGATTCCTACTGTGTTCAGGTGGGGCAGCTGCAGAGGGGACCTGGAGCCAGGTCTCGAGGCGGCACATACAGGGTCACCCTGACTCGGTAGGAAACTCCAGTGCGAGGAGAGGTCAGGGAGGTGTGAAAGCCAGCACCACGGGGGAGCAGAGGAGCTATTCAGCCTGACCTCGGGGGCCAGGGAAGGGACATCCAGAGAGGCCATGGTGGAGCAGCTTCACTCTGTCCTTCTCATCCCCCGCAATCCTAGAAGGCTCCTTAGAGACTCCCTGGTTCAAAACCACCTTTTCCCCACCTAACAAACAGGGAAACCAGCCCAGATGGGGCCATGACCAGCCAGGGTCACACAGCAGGTCCATGGCAGGGACCAAGTTTCTAACCAGAGCTTTCCCCCAGCTGTGCATGTTCTTGTCTCTCGTGCCGCACCTACCTTTTCTGAGAAATGGGCCAAAAGGCGGGCTTCATCTGCTCAGCACCCAGAATGGTGCTAGGTGGTCAGAAGGCAACCCCAAAACACATTTGAAGTGTGGACACCCAGCAAGTGTGGGGAGCAGCCATCTTGTGCTTTGAGTGCTTAGTCAGTGATGGTGGGGCGACAGGGGGACTGGCTAGGTGACCCGAGCCTCCCTGAGGAGGTGGAGTCTGAGCTGAGACCCGCCAGACCCTATGGGTTTGCTGGGCAGCGGGCAGGCCCAGAGCTGGGTGCTGCAGGGGCAGGGCTAGGGCCCAGGTGTGGGGCACCGGGATGGAGAGGATGGGGCTGAGCGATGATGGCCTTGTGTGCCCGAGGGCCACGGGAGCCATGGGAGAGGTTAGCAGGGGGACCGAATGGCATGGGGGCGACAGAGGACCCCCTGGGGAATGCAGGTAGAGAAATGTGGGGGCTGGGCAGAAAATGGATGGAGGCGGTGCCTCTGGGCCCTGCTGGGGTCTGGAAGTCATCAGGCTGGCCTGGGTGACTTAGGGTGGGGGGCACAGCAGTGAGGGTGCAGAGCAGGAGCCTTTGCCTCTCCTGGGACCCCCCTCAGTGCTCCCCATTTCTGTCCCTCAGGAGATAGCCATACACACCACTCACACCCGTGGCCATGGAGCCCATAGGCCCGACCCCTTGCAGGGCTGTGTGTGGTGCTGAGGGTTGCACACAGGGGCGCTGAGAACATGGGAGCTTATGCTGTGAGCCTCCAAGCAGGTCTCACGCGAGCGGGCAACAGCAGTGCGAGGGGACATGTGCAAGCGGGAGGAGGCTTGAGGGGGCACGGGGCAGACAGGCTGCAGGTCGCACGCTGGCTGGGTGGAGTCTGTGTTCCTGCGTGTGGGGGTGAGGACCTGCGTGTGTCTGTGGGAGAACATGTGTGCATGTGAGGGTGTGTGCGCGTGTCATGTGTACTTGTCACTGCGGTGCACTCATGGGAGTGTCAGAGCTGTGCCTCTCCTTCCCTCTGTGCCCCCCACCCCACCCCGGGCTGTGTGTGGAGCTCATTAAGCGGCTGCTAACTGCGGAGGTCACTCCCTGTCCCCAGCACCCGCCTGCCGCTCCCTGGAGAAGGGCAGGATCAGCCACAAGCCCAGCAGCCCTGCTCCTGGAGGCTCCAATTACAGAAGCTTTGCGCCCAGAAAGCCAGAGAGGAGCCGCCTGTCCTCAGGGCTTCCTCCCTGCAAATGGCCCCCCTGGGAGACTCTGATTCCTTCCCAGCAGCCCCACCTCACACAGCACAGTGTCCCCGGGGAGAGGCTGGAGTGCTAACCTCCAGAGCTCCACTGGGTGTTCACCTGAAGGGACCTTAGATAAATTCCTGTTCGAGATCACTTTAATCACCAGGAGCCAGAGGCTGTTAGAGATTTGTCCAGATTCCACTTTGCTCTTGGGTGCACCAGGGAATGAATGACTTGGGCGGGGGTGTAGGATGCTAGAAGCGCTTCCTGGAGGGGTCTCTTCTCTTTCTAAACAAGGGTTTCCCAGAAACTTCTCTAGTTCTGCCATCTTTAGGGTTGTGTCTGCCCTGGGATTCATTAGACAGTAGCCCGCAGCTCTCATTTTTGCCACTAGATGGCAAGCTAGAGAATGGGTACCAGGCGAAGTCAGGCCGGGGGCTGTTAATTACAAAACTGGGGGGAGTGGATGGAGCTTGCCATTTAGAATTCTGCAGAGGTCCGGGCATGGTAGATCATGACTGTGATCACAGCACTCTGGAAGGTTGAGGCAGGAGGATTGTAAGTTTAAGCCTGGCCTGGGCAACTTGGTGAGACACTTTTAAAATTTCAAAAATGGGCTGGGAATGTAGCTCAGTGCAGAGACCCTGGGTTCAATCCCCAGTACCATAGAACCAGCCAACCAACCAACCAACCAACCAACCAACCAACCAGCATAGGCTGCAAAGCCCCAACACAATCAGCCAGGAAGATGCATCTGGAGGTCAAGGGATGCAAGTTCTGGTCCAGCTCTGCCATAAGCCTGCTGTGGGGCCTGGACCTCAGTTTCCCTCCTTGCACAGTACAGGAGAGGGACTGAGTTAGATGCATGGTTCTCAACTCTGTCTAGGATGGGTAGGAACCTGGACATCAGGGTGCTCTTTAAGGAATCTTGTAAAATTAGTCCTTCTGGGCCACCCTTGCAGTCTCTATCCTGGCCCAGCTCTGATGGAGGAGGCTGCGGAGGGAGGGAGGGAGGGAGTAAGCTCTTGCGACAGGAGGCCCCTTCTGTTGTTGTTTTTTTTTTTGGCAGTACTGGGGATCAAATGTAAGATCTTCACACTGAGCTACAGTCCCAGCTTTTATTTTATTTTTTTTTCCCTTTTTTTTTTGGTACTGGGGATTGAACTTGGGACCTTGCCCTTGCGAGGCAGGCAGCGGAACCACTGAGCTACATCCCCAGCCCCACAACCTTTTATTTTTTATTTTGAGACAATCTTGTTAAGTCACCAAGTGGCCTAGGCTAGGCCTGAACTTGTGATCCTCCTGCGTCAGCCTCCCAAAATGCTGGGTTTATAAACATGTGCCACTGCAGCTGGCTTTCCTGATCTCGTGCAAGGTGTGCTTTCCTCTGGTTAGAAACCCGGGCGGTCACTGTGGAGGCCCAGACCCCACCCACATTGCCTCTAACTGCCACACCCCAAGTTCAGGCCCTGAATTCAGCCGAGCTTAGCTACCACCCACCTCTGGGTGGGCCCTGGGACTAGGATTCCTGCTCAGGAGGACTGTGGGGAGCTTTATCCTGGATTGGGTCTGGGAGAAAGAACTGTGCCATGAGCTGAGGGGGTCTCTGGGTTTCCCCTGGATGGGGTGTTTTTCCTTAGGGGTTGGTGGCTGCAAGGAACAACTTTGTCCTTGGCATCTCCTGGGGAAAGGAGCAGGAGATGGGCTGGAGGTGGGTGGATGGAGAACATCTGGCCAGGTAACTTGGGGACAGGAGAGGAAGAGCAGCTGGGGCTTCGGAAGAGCTGTGTGGTGTACCCAGTGGCAAGGGCTGAGACTCGGGGGGGCGGGGTTGATGGACTCTTTCACCAGAGCCACCGGGCTGGCTGGGGCCAGCAGGGCTCAGAGGGGAGACTGAGCCTCAGCCCCTCCTGCAGGCAGACACCTGGGTCAGTAGCCGCAGGCGTGGGACACGGGCCGGCAGCTGGGGCCTCTGCAGCCTAGCCGTCTGCTGCTTGGCCCGGCCTCCCTGGCACCCACTGTGCCCCTGATTAGTTGGCATCGGCAGTGGCAGGAGCAGCAGACGGCTTCTCCTGGTTGCTCAGCGCCTTCCGCCATGCTGGCCAGACCAGAGAGCAAGGAAGCCTGGGGGCCAGGCCACAGCCCGGCACCCTACTTCTTCACCACGGGCTGTGCCCCTGGCACAGGCTGGCATGTGTCTGGTGCTTTCTACTGGAGCGGGCTGGGCAGAATAGCCTAGCTAATCGGGGCCGAGAGCTCTGTCTGTAGAGCACCCCGAACCTTGAGGGGAGAGGGCTGTCTGAGGGGCACCCCTCCTCCTATCACCTCCCTCTATGGCCACTGACGGGCCTCCCCTGCCTACCTGCTGTCCTGGTTTGTCCTTGGAGCAGAGGTCGGGCTGAGTCCCCAACCTTAGGGCAGAGAGCAGGAGCAGCACCCTCATTTGTCATCCTTCATCGGCCTTGGTCACACCCCCAGATCTCAATGTCAGTGAAGAGACAGGCAGGGGACAGACAGGGGTGTGGAGTGGGGGACAGGATCGGGGGGGTGAGGATTTCCCTGCCAGTGAGTGCCTGACCTCAGAATCCTCCTGCCTCAGCCTCCCAGAATGCTGGCATTACAGCTGGGCGCCACCATGCCCAGCCTACTGTTCCCCTCTGTAGATGATGCCACTGGGGGCCTAGAGAGGGCAAGTTTTGCCTCTAAGTCACCCAGCCTGGACTGGGACCCAGATCTGTTCTGTATCGTCTTCCCCTTCATGGCTGGGAGCGGATCCTCAGCCACACTTTTGGGGTCATCTGGCTGAGTGGGGAGGGGACTGCAGAAGGAGACAGGGAGGCTGCCTGGAGGAGGAGGGCTTGGCTGGGGAAGGTGGAGGGAGGCTGGAGATGCAGAGGGTGATGGGAAGGGAGTTTGCTCTGTCTCTGCCTCGCTCTCTCTGTCTCTGTCTCTCTACTCCATGCACGTGGACACGCACCCATCCACCCCTGCATCCACGCCTCTCCCTGTCGCTCCTCTCTCCTCTCTGTTTTACCTGCTGTGTGTCTGCCTCCCTGTGTCTCCCACCTCTGTTCTTTGCCTCTATTTCTCCTCTCCCTGCCCAGCCTCCCTCAGCTCACGGATGGCATCGGGGAATGAGGGCAGAATGTAACCACCCACTGAGGACATAACAGAAGGTTTAGCCAGGGTCCCTCGGGCTCCTCCCTGCCTCCCTAATCCTGCAGCCCCTTTTCCTGGCACCGAGGCTCTGAGCTCCTTCTAAGTCCCTAATTAGCTAATTATGCATGGCTTTGGCCCTGGGACTCCAGGGGCCCCTGGGAGGGCTGCGGAGGGAACTGGGGCCCAGCTGGGCAGTGGAAGGCAGAAGGGGAGAAGGCAGCTGGGCAGGTTTTCAGAGCCCTTTGGAATTTTAATATCCCAGAGAACAAGGGAAAAGTAATTAATTGAGCAACAAAGGCGGTGGAGGGAGCAGCCTTGAGCAGTGGGCTGGGGCTTCGCTGAGTGCCTCCTCCCGGCCCTTCTGGTCCAGCTTCTCCTCCAGCTGCTGCCAGCTGCTGCCTCTGGCCTCTGCCCGGCCCATGTCGGCCCTTCTGAGCTGATCAAGGCCCCCGCCTGTTTGGAAATCTGCTGACAACAACAGCAACCAGCCTTCTGAGGCCCACAGTCCTTCGCCCCCTCCACAGGGACCCCGCAGGCCCCCACATTCTCTCTGCCTGGCAAGCACCTTGTCCTATAGGGCCCAGCTCAGAGCTCCTCCAGTGTGTCCCAGGACACAGTCCTTTTGCTCAGCACTGTGGTCCCCTGAGTGCTAGGCTATGGGTTTGAGGAGATGGGACAAACTGGGTCTTGTTCTTTGCTGGATTCCCTGGGTGCTGAGCACCATGCTGGGCATACAGCAGGCAGTGACTGGGTATTTTTGAGGAACCTGTATGTTCGTGTGTGTGTGTGTGTGTTTGTGTGTGAGTGTGCGTGTGTGAGTGTGCATGAATGGAGGGGCACCAGGAAGGCCTGCAATCTAGTGGCTTCACTCAGTTGGACCAGTTGCATGGATCATGCAGGGACTCCGTGTGCCCCATTGGGGGACAGAGGAAGGTAGGGCATTGAGCCCCTGGGAGCTCTCAGAGGGATGGAACAGCCTGCCAGGGAGCCCCACTGCCTCCCTAAGAGGAGGCTGACCTAGTTTTGTGGGCAGGGAAGATGGGGATGGGCATTAATTATTGATTGAAGATCGCTCCACACAGAGTTCATGATGCAAATCTCAAATAATTAGCCTTGTTAATAACCACCTCAGCGCCACCCCTGGCATAAGTGGAAATCTGGACAGGACCACTGTTCTCTCACCCTCCCCTCCCAGCCTTCCTCCCTTCCCATGACTGATCGCATCATTGGTTCATGAGCAGTCATTCAGGGGATGTTGGCTGAGCTGGGACCTGCTGGGTTCTTGGAACACTGAAGTAACTCAGACACAGACTTTGCTACCAGGAGCTTATAGCTCAATAGATGAGACAGAGGGGCAAACAGACAACTGTACCCTCAGGCTAGAAGGCTAGATGTTGATGCAAGCAGAACTTTTTCAGTTGTGCAATATACAATCTGCATAACTGTATATGGCAGCCTAGGCTAGGTCAGAGGTACTGAGATTGCCTACAGCAGGAGAGTGAGAGATGAATTCTGTCTGGAATGGAGTGAGAAAGGGTCTAGAAGGCTTCACAGAGAAAGCTTTCATGGGGCAATGGTGGTTGAATAGGGATTTGCTCGGAAGAGGGAATAGCATGGGTAAAAGAATGGGTGGTGGAAGGAGAGCTAGGGTTGATGTCAGGCCACCTGGTTTAAATCCAGACCTCACTCCTTCTTTGCTGTGTGACCATGGGCATGTGATTTCAGTTCTTGGACCCTCCACTGTTTCCTGGTATAAAATAGAGATGGTGCTATCAGCCTCATAGACTCGAGGAAGCCCACATGGCCATAGGCATGTCCAATAAATGCCTGCTGGTTCAGCTGAGATCTAGTGTAAGTGTGATGGGGCCCAGAGCCATTTCCCTGGCTTTCTGGGAGAGGAGCAGATGAGAAGGGGAGGGCTGATCTAGTGCTCACAGCAGGCTGGAGCCGGAGGAGCCCCTGCCCATGTGCCCCTCACTTCTCCCTGTTGCTCCGCCCTGCTCTCCAGCCCTGCTCCTGCCTGACCCCACCCTCCTCCCCCGGCAGGCATGCGGATCCTGGTGAACCTGCTCCTGGACACGCTGCCCATGCTGGGCAACGTCCTCCTGCTCTGCTTCTTTGTCTTCTTCATCTTTGGCATCATTGGCGTGCAGCTGTGGGCTGGCCTGCTGCGCAACCGCTGCTTCCTGGAGGAGAACTTCACCATGTGAGTGCACCCTGGGGGTCCTGCTTCATGCCCAGACTCCCCTCCCTTGGGGTTGGGGGGGGTCAGGACACCCCAGGCAGGAGCAACAGACAGAGGAGGGCCAGGCTTAGAGCTGACCCTTCTGGAGTCCTCCTTCTGGTCCTCTGGGTCTGTCTAGTTGGGGAGAGTGGGTTGGGGAGGGGCTGGGCCACCTTCCTGTTGCTGTGGAGGACAGTGGGATGCCTTGGTAGACCACAGAGGGGGCGCCTGGGGGTGAGGCCCCGTGTGGCTTGGGTGGGGGATGTATGTTCGGAAGAGGCCAGTCCTGAGCCAGCTGGGGCAGTGGGGAGTGGGCAGGGCCATGGCTGCTTCTCCTGGTCTGCCTGCAAAGACAGATATGAGCAGGTGTGACTGCTCAGCTTGGAGGTCCAAGGTGCATCCAGCCCCTCTGTTCTTTGTGGATCTGTCCTGTATCATTCTGTAGCCAATTCCTTCTGATTACCTGCACCGAGCCACTCTTGGAGACCTCCTCCTCCCCCTTCACCATCACACCCCCAAACATGGGGCTGCCCCACCTTGTTGAGTTCCTTCCCCGCCTGTCCCTCTCTGCAGTCAGCTCAGTTGTCAGTCTGTCTGGTGATGTGGCTGTTGGCTGTTGTCTGTCTTGGGACCAATTTGCTTGGCTGGTCTTGGAGGGCCACCAGAATGCAAGTCCTCCATGAGGCCAGGGATATTTGTTCCTTACTCTCTTCCCATGGCCTGAAACAGGCTGGGAAAGGTAGTGAGTCCTCAGCTGATTGTTGTATGAATGAATGCATTTCCCACTCCGAGGCGGCCGGGGAACAGCACTGTGGTCCTTCCTGGCCTTGCAGTCTAGAGATCCCGTATCTTGGATGTATCCCCCTATTGTCCTGCCCTGGCCTTGGGCAGTGGCTCCAATTCTGTCTCTGCCATGGGGAGGGAGAGGGTGGATGCTGTGATGTGGTCTGGGCACAGAGTTACAGGGAAACATTGGCCGGCCCACCCACCCAGGAAGGAGAATTCTAAGTGGGAATAGATGTCAAAAGAGCAAGGGGCCCTCAGAAGTGAGATAAAGCTGAGATGAGCCAGTGATCCACCCCTCTGCTCCTCAGCTGGGGTGTCATTCTCTTAGGGCAGGTGGCCTTGACTGACAGGCCCTCCTGGGCTGGGACACCACTAATGTTTTGTGAAAGAGACCGGTAAAGTTTAGGTCTGGGTGGAGAGCAAGGCCAAAGTCCTCCCAGGCTTTCAACCCCATAGTAAGGAGGTGGGGGAGAGGAGGGGGTGGTGATGAGGTTTAGACAGCAACTCAGAAGTCCTGGGCCAGGACCCAGAGCAGAGAAGCTCATCGTCAGGACTCACAAAGAGGCAGGAGGGTGTGTGCTGGGGGCTCAGACCCCTGGACTCTGAGAAGATTGCACCTCCAGAGCTGGGGGACCTGGGCAAGGTCTTGGGAGGGACACAGGAAGTCCCTGCGGTGCTTTGTGCACTCTCCCATCAGGACTTGGGAGTGGGTGTCTGAGGGCCGGGCAGTGCAGGTCCTTCCTGGGGTCAGCACACTCACAGGTTGGAGCTGGGGTCTCAGGGAGCCTCCATCCTCCATGTCATTATGGAGATGGGGATGGAGGCCATGCAAGGGAAGGGAGCGCCTGGGCTACACAGCAGGGCCCCCACCGGGCACGCAGTCCCAGGGGCCAGGCCCAGTGCCGGGCCTCAGGGATAAGGGCTTCCTTGCTCAGCAGTTGGGGGCCTGGTGCCTGGGTGCTGTGGGGTTAAGTTCCCAGAGGAGGCCTGAGGCCAGCACAGTGGTGGGGGCAGGACAGAAGGGACTTCCTGAATTGCCGGGGATGGGACGTTGAGCTGAGCCCATCTCCTGGCAGGTGGGGGGGGGGACGGGGGGGGGGGCGAGGGGAGGCATGTTTCTACCAGAGACCCCATGGCTGCAAGGTTGTTTGGGGTAGGAGCAAGGGGCCTGTCCTTCAGGGTCAAATTCTGCCCCTGCCAGCTGTGTGACCTTGGGAGCAAATGGCTGAAAGACCCCGTGCCTCCGTTTCCCTCTCATAGGGTTGTTGTGAGATAAGCCTAGTTAGAATATGTAGGGTCTTAGAGCAGAGCTTGGCCCCAGGCAGCATGGAGCAAGTGTGAGGCGGTGGGGGTTGTCTCCTGCAGCCCAGGGGACCTCTGTGTCTTTCACCAGCCTGGAAGCTGAGACAGCATCGGGGTCACAGGTAGTGAAGCCATCCCGGGCGTCCCAGGGCTGGCTTGGGGCTGATGCACAGAGGTGCTTCATAAACACACACGGAGCAGCAGCGTGGGCCCGGAAGACGATCCCAAGTGACGACGGCTGTGACAGCTGGTGTTTATAGGGTGCTCAGCTTGCGCTGGATGCTACTCTTGTCAGGGGAGACTCAGTGATCCTCACAACACCCCGGGAGGGGAGCATGTTATCAGCATTGTTTTCCATTTGGCTCAGAGAAGGTAGATCACTTGCCCAGGGGCACACAGCATGTGAGTTGCAGAGCTGGGATTTGGAACCAGGCCGTCAGGAGCACCAGGGCCCGTGCTCCCAACCGAGCTGGCCTGGGCAGAGGCTGAGGCAGCGGAGGCTGTGGGTGACCTGGGGAGGGACAGGACAGGGCTGGCAGAGCTGTGGGGGAGGAGGAGGAGGCTGGGAGGTGGTCACGGGGCCTGGCTGGGGTGTGCAATGTCACTGGCCCACTGAGGCGGGCCTTCAGTGCCCACTCCCTGGGGATAACGGGGTGGCAGAGAGCTCTGTGGGAGAGCAGGTCTGCCAGGCAGGGGTGGAGCCATGCTGGCTCCTGTGTCCCAGCTCTACCCTGCTGTCCACATCTTGCACCCAAGGATTCGGGGACTCTGCTGCCCAGGTGCCCATGGGGGCCTGGAACCTTTCCAGCACCGTGTTACTCTGAGAGCTCTGTTCAGGGGTTTTCAGGAGTGACTAAGTCTAAAGAGGAAAACTGAAGTTGGAATAAAATATTTGCCATGCATGTAACCACCAGAGGACTCTAATCCAGAACAAAGAAAGAACTACTAAAACTGAAAAGGACGAGAAAGAGATCTAATTCAGAATGGCCTGTAAGACCCTAACAGGCTTCGCAAGGGGCCACCAAGCAGCTGATAACCATGTGAAAAGGCATTTGTCATCATTGCTCTTCAGGGACATAGAACTGAAACCAAAGTAAGGCACCCTGATGCCCCAGTACAAAGGTTAAAATCAGAATACGGACAGCAGTAGTTGTTGCCAAGGATAGGAGCTAGGCACACTCCTACCATGGTGGGGGGTTTGATATGGTCCTCATGGAAGGCTGGGGGAGCCTTAGCCGCCCCTGGGTTTGGTCAAAAGGAAAGATGCCTTACATTTACCCAACGACATGAGCAAGAGTGTTTGTGTCATAAGGGCCCCAAACCCAGAGATGATCCAAATCAACAGTTGGATAAATAAGAAGCAGCATATTTACTCAGTGCATTTGCTCATAGACATGAGAGTAAAGGAACTACTTCTTACTCCCTGTTGGTGTCTTTTGGTGAACAGAGACTCCTACTTCAAGATGAAGTTTAAACCAGACAAGGTGCTGCATGCCTGTGGTCCTAGGACTCTGGGAGGCCAAAGCAGGAGGATTGCAAGTTCAAGCCCAGACTGGGTAACTTAGTGACTTAGTCTCAAAATAAAAAATAGCAAGGGCTGGGAATGTACCTCACTGTGAAGGCCCTAGGTTCATTTTCCAGGACCACAAATAGACAACCCCCCAAAGCAACTGAAAACAAGAATGAAGTTCAGGTGATCGTATATATATTTTTTTAGCATTGTATTTTGTGTCTGGTTTCAGAAATCTCCTGTCCTGAAAGTATTCTCCACTGCTTTCTTTGAGAAGCTTTCTTGTTTTTTCTTTGCCTTTTGGGTCTCTTCTCTCTCAAATAATTTTGTCTATGGACCGTCGTTGGCCGGGGTGGTGTGTGTCCAGGACTTATTTATTTACTTAGTGAGTATTCACTTGTCCCAGGGACGTTTGTTGAAAAGTCCATCCTTTCTCCATGGGATTGCCATGGTGCCTTTGATAGAAGCGGTGACCTTGCATACTTGGGTTGAGTGACGTTTTGATTGTTGGTGGGTGTTGCAGGTTTGTCCTTTGCAAAAGTTGTACAGGGTACACCTGTACCAGCAGTGACTGTGACTGCCTGTTTCTCCTCATCCTTCCCCACAGTCTGTTCAATCAGTCCTGAAAAGTTGGCCATTTCAGTGAGGTGGATGATTGCATTGCTGTTTTTGCCTATATAGATGGATTTGTCTTTGAGCTCTGTGGTGCCCCATTCACCTTTCAGGTCCTGTTACAATGGGACCACTGTTCTCATCATTGTAGTTGTATAGTATTTTGCCTTGGTTTCCATTCATCTTTCTGCCTTAAAAAGATCTACCTTAATCAGTCTCCCATGCAGCTAAATCCTTGAGCTATCTAACTGTTCCACAGCTAAAATCTTGTTGGGATTTTGATTAGGGTTGTATTTTTTTTTTTTTTTTTTTTGGTACCAGGGATCGAACTCGGGTCCTTGCACTTGCACAGCAGGCAGCAAAACCACTGAGCTAAATCCCCGGCCCTTGATTAGGATTGTAGTGAATCTTGGATTAAGCCTATATGAGCAGGGCCATGATTGCCAGCTCCATTTTGTAGATGAGGAAACCCAGGTCCAGTGAGGGGAAGTGCCCAGCCCAGGGTCACTTACACAGGAAGTGGTGGGGCAGACAGGCTCTCACCCTTGGGCCCTGGATCAGTACAACCCAGGGCTTGCTTGCTGAGCCTGCTCTGTGCCGACCACACAATGGGCGGGGCTGGGGCCAGGGAGGTGGCTCTGTTTGCCCCAGGACATAAGAACAGAATCTCATGGGCACAATGTGGCCCCAGGGAACTCAGAATCGGCTCTGCTGGATCCTGGCGAGGGTCCCCTAGAGAATGCTTCCAGAAGACAGCACCCCAGAAAGGGATCACACTAGGCCTGTGGGAGTTTTCATGAGTGTAACAGAGGAGGGAAAGGGGGCACAGCATGTGCCCAGGCCTGTTGGGCCAGTCTGGCCATGGCATGGCCTCTCTTTTCTTGGCCTTCCTGGCAGTGACCCCTCCTTTTCCCTCTTTCACTCCTCCTCACCTGTGGACAGACAAGGGGATATGGCCCTGCCACCCTATTACCAGCCAGAGGAGGATGACGAGATACCCTTCATCTGCTCCCTGTCAGGGGACAATGGCATCATGGGCTGCCATGAGATCCCCCCACTCAAGGAGCAGGGCCGAGAGTGCTGCCTGTCTAAGGATGACGTCTATGACTTTGGGGCGGGGCGCCAGGACCTCAACGCCAGTGGCCTCTGTGTCAACTGGAACCGCTACTACAATGTGTGTCGCACAGGCAGCGCCAACCCCCATAAAGGCGCCATCAACTTTGACAACATCGGGTATGCCTGGATCGTCATCTTCCAGGTGAGGCAGCTCGGGTCTGGGATGCGTCGGGGTGGGCAGCTCCTCCAGGCAGGCTGGGCTCTGTGCTGGGTGTTTGCCACTCCACCTCACTGAAATCAGCCTGGTTTGCTGGCATGATAGGCACGATGGCAGAGTCTGAGGTTCAGAGAGAGAGGAAGCACTGCATTTGGCCAGGGACTGCATGGCTAGCAAATGGCAAAACCAGGGTCTTATCCTTGCATGCGTCGACCCCGAAGCCCATACTCCCTGCCGAGTCCCAGGTTACCTGGAGGCAGAGGTGCTAGTAGGGAGGCTGCATTGGAGCAGGCAAGGCAAGGTGGGGCCCCACAGATGGCCATGGGGAGGAAAGTGACCAAGGAGCCCCACTAGTCTGGTCAGGAGGAAAGACGTTTCACCTCGCAGGGCACAGATGCACATTCACTTTCCTGTGCAAAGCACCTGTTTCACTGAGTGGCCCCCTGTGCTGACTCTACCACTCAGGCTCTGCAGAGGACGGCTGGGTATTTTGAGAGAACTGGGGCTGTAGGACCTTGGATGTATCGCTTGGCCTCTCTGTGCCTCCATTCTGGCCCGAGAGCAGGGGTGCTGGTCGAGGTTGCAGCAAACCAGACAGGGCTGGGGATGCCCAAGCACTGGCTTTCCTGAGGCTGCTCTGTCTCCCTCTCTGGGAAGGAGGGGAGAGGGTGGAGGAGACTGTCACTTAGCTTCTTCCGGCCCACACTCGCATGCTCTGAGCTGCGCCCCGGCACCACCAGGGGGGGTTTGTTGAGCCCAAGGACTAGAGAAGAAATGAAGCTCAGGGTGGGTGAGCAGCCCAGGAGGGAGCCAGAGCTGGAGCCAGAGCTGGAGCCCCTGTCCCGCATCTGTACCCAATCCTGCCCAGTTGTGGTAGCCAGGAAACAGGGTGGGCTCTGAGCCAGAGAGACCAGAGTTCTGGTCCTAGCTCCACTCTTGCCTGCTGTGTGACCTTGAGGGAGTGCCCTCACCTCTCTGAACTTCACTTTCCTCACCTGCATGGCGGGCATGAGGGCAGCTGCCCCTCAAGCCCTCGTGGGATGTAATGGAGGCGGTGTGCATCTCGTGTCCTAGTACACATTAGGGCCTCAGAGCAGGGTGCAGGCCTGGCTGCCTGCCTGTCTTGTCTCAGGCTGTCCCTGTGCTCTGTGCTGGCTGCAGGTGATCACTCTGGAAGGCTGGGTGGAGATCATGTACTACGTGATGGATGCGCACTCCTTCTACAACTTCATCTATTTTATCCTGCTTATCATAGTAAGTGTCGGGGAGCTGGGGCTCTCGGGCCGGCTCTGGGCCGCAGACCAGGGGACGGCAGGAGGGGACCCTCAGAGCCAGGAGAGCTGGCGGGAGGCAGCCAGAGGAGCTGGTTTTAAATGTGGTGGACCGTGTTGATTGAAAGGGCTCGGCAGAGCAGCTGCTGGGAGCGTCCACTTCTGCCGCCTTCATTTCTCATCTCTGGGTGTTGAAGTCCCACCACTCCTCCCCCTTGCCTTCCTGCACCTCGTATCTCTGGGAACCCATTCTTTCGGTGATCTTATGCAGGTCGGGGTTCAGCTTCTCAAGGGCTCTGCCTTGCCCCTGTTTCCCTGGGGCTGGAAGAGGAGGTGGCTGCTTGGTGGTTAGGAGGTGGAGTTCCCTGAAATTCCCCATGGGGGCTCCACCCGCCGGGGTGGGGTGGGGGGAGCAGGAGTTGGAGGCGGGGCCAGGCCCTCCCTCCCGATCCTCCCTGCAAAGGGTCCCCAGAGCAAGCGCATCCTCTCTGTCATGCCTGACTGCAGCTTCAGCCATGGCACTGTCCCCCAAAAGTCGAGGTGATTCCCTGGCACAATAGCTGCCTACTCCCTGCTGCCACAAGACAGGGTCCTGGATGCCTGCTGGTGGGTGGTGTGGGACATGCTTGGTTCCCCCGGGCAGCGCCCCATCCTGAGTTGGAGGGACCTCAATGGGAGGTCAGGACAAGTTGGCAGGTGACCCCAGATGACCCTGCTGTTGGCCTAGCCCCAGGGCTGTCCTTGGGCCTGGAGACACCCAGATGAGAGGAGGGAGCCCAGGTTTTTGTTTGGAATTGCCACACACCCCCCTATTTACTCCCAACTCCTCAGGAGCTGAGGGCTGAGACAAAGCAGGAGGCAGGCCGGGGCCCTGCCCTGCATGAGGAAATAGTGGCTGGCAGCAGACAGTGGCCATATGGAACCTTAGGTGCTGTGACAGAAGGAAGCTGAGGGGCTCCAGGGTGCCCCTCACCCACCGGGGGGAGGAGGGCATGGGGAGAATCCTGCCCAGGGGACCACACACCCCTGGGGTTGCTAGAGGAATCTGGGATTCCAGAGGGGCTGTGGAAGGCTCTGTCTGCTCCTCCTGGTGGAGGTAACTTTGGGCCCAGAGTCATTAACACAATGTGACCCTGGGCAGGCTCCTTGGTGTTCCAGGGCCTCTGTGAAATAGGGACAGTGGCAGCACCTAGCTCGTAGGGTCTGGGGAGGTTTAGATGAGATAGTCAGAAGCCTGTGAATTCCTGGTACACAGGAAGAGCTCAATACATGTTTCCTACTAGATTTTCACTGCTATGATTGCTGCTCGGGTGAGTCCCAGGTGACCCTGCCCCGGGACAGAGAGTGCTGGCAGGTGGCTGGGGAGGTGGCTTTTTCTTGGTGCTGAGAGGGGTGCAGAGAGCAGCTCTGAATAAACATGTTGCCACATACCCTAGGGTCCTGGCTGTGCAGGGTCACCTGTCCAGACCTAGAGCCCCAGAGAGGTGAGGCACCTGGCTTGAGCCACGCAGCATGCAAGGGGTCCTCAGCCCCCAAATGGAGTCTCCAGTGCTCCTTCTGATTAGGGAAGCCCTAGGCTCATCTTGCCCCCGGCTCCCACTTCACAGATGGGGAAGGAGAGGCCACAGGGGTCATCCAGGGCAGCCACTGCCAAGGCAGGGCTGGGTGGGAGCTGACACATAAGCTCCAGGAGGGCTGGGTCCCAGCCCTGGGGTCCTCATGTTCCTAAAAGGTTCAGGGCAGCACTCCAGGAAGTACAGGGCATCTTCTCATCAGAGAGGCAGGATATTTCCCCAGAATCCTCTGCACCAGGAAGCATCCTCCATCTCCTCCCTGAATTATGCTGACAGCAAGAGGAGGGAAGGACAAATCAGGGACCAGGGCCGCTACCTGCAAGCACCTCCTGCTGGTGGCTGGAGGAGGCCAGAGACCAGTCCCCTCTGACCGGGAAGCTGAGCTCATTGAGAGACTCAGCAGGTGCTGGGGAGGGGTGGGAGGGCCTCTTCTGCCTGGGGTGCCCTGGCAGCATGGGGAGAAGGCTGGGGACACGAACTACAGGGTCCTGAGCACTAACAGACTGCTTGTCCTTACTGCCCCTCCAAGACCGAAGCAAGCCAAGGCCTGACCAGAGGCTAGAACTCACGCTGGAGGGGCTGATCGGGGCCCAGAGCTGGGGTCTCGGGGGGGCAGGGAGGCCATACCTTGGGGCCTGAGGGAACCTGGCTTGGCAGTGCCCTCCGTGGGCCTAGGGGGCCACCTGGGCTGCACCTTCTCTGGGAGCAAGGCCTCAGGGATCTTTCCTGTCCTCATCTGTGTCTGTGCCTCTGTGCCTCTGGGCTTCTCCACCCCCCTGCTCTCTCCGCCCCGTCTCTGCCCCCCAACGCTGTGCCCCCAATTCTGTCCTCTCTGAGTCTGTCCCATGCTCTCTCGTGTCCCCCTGTCCTTTCCCCTCTGCCGGCCCGGCTGCCCCTGTCTTCCCTGTCTCCCCACTCGGCGCCTTCCTCTGGTTCGTGGGTCTCCTCTGTCTGTCCCTCATCCTCTGTTTCTGCCCCCGTCTTCCCATCTCCGTCTTTGTCCCCCTCTCTGGCTCTCGGTCTCCCTGACTCTCTCTCTCTCTGTCTCCCTCTCCCTGTGTCACCCTGCCGGTCCCTTTCCCACCCCACTATCCCCTCCATCCCTGTCCTCTCCTCCCGTTGGTCACAGGTGGGCTCCTTCTTCATGATCAACCTGTGCCTCGTTGTCATAGCGACCCAGTTCTCGGAGACCAAGCAGCGGGAGCACCGGTTGATGCTGGAGCAGCGGCAGCGCTACCTGTCCTCCAGCACGGTGGCCAGCTACGCCGAGCCTGGGGACTGCTACGAGGAGATCTTCCAGTACGTCTGCCACATCCTGCGCAAGGCCAGGCGCCGTGCCCTGGGCCTCTACCAGGTCCTGCAGAGCAGGCACCAGGCCCTGGGCCTGGGGGCACCGGCCCCTGCCAAGCCCGGGCCCCACGCCAAGGAGCCCAGGCACTGCAGTAAGTGGCCCACCGGGGTGCTGGCACCTGGGGACACAAATAACACCTGCCCAGCACTAGAGAAGCACCCATCGGGCTCAGACTCCCAGGTCTCCATTTCCGCCTCAAGCGCCTCTCACCTCCCTGCCTCTCCATCCCCTTCACCTGCCTGGAGTGCCTGGCCAGCCCTGGGGGCGGGCACTCAGTGCTGGTCTTGGAGGAGTTCCCTTCCCATCCCCATGTGCACAGACACCCGCTCTGCCCCGGTGCCACATTTCGAGAAGTGAACTCTGATCTGTCCTCAGTCTTGGAAGACTGAATGCGTCACCCGAGTCCGGGGCCTGTGGCTGTCTCTGCTCATCAGCATGCTTGGGTGATGACGTGGGGCACCTGGCCTGCCCTGCAGAGGTGTGACATGTTGGGGACACCTGCCCCTGTGCTCTGTCCTGCCTATCCCTTTCCTTAACTCGTTTTTTCCAGGAAACCGTCCTGGGGAAGGACAGATTATGTACCATCAGCCCCAATTTTCAGTGTGTGTGTGTGTGTGTGTGTGTGTGTGTGTGTGTATGGTACTGGGGATAGAACCCAGGGCCTCAGGCAAACACTCTACCGTGAAGCTCACCCCCAGCCCTCATCTCCAGTTTTCAGATGGGAAAATTAGGGTCCAAGGAGACAAGGGAGTCATTTAAGGTGGGACAGTGTGTAAACGACAAAGCTTATCACATGGAATGTCTGCCTCCAGCTGCCCTTGGAGGGGGCCTGGCCCAGCCTGTTTCCTCCCAGTTGGTGGCAAGGAGTTGGTGGGCATGGGCATTGTTCCCTGTGTGCCCTTGAACACAGTGGCCCCTCCGCAGGGCTCTGTCCCCTTCCGTGGAGTGGGGCTCAGGACCCACCAGCCCGTGGCCATCAGCTGTGGGCTCAATGCCCTGCTCTCCTGACTCTCTCCTCCTAGAGGAGTCCTCTGATGTCAGCCATCCATGTGTGGCCTTGGAGGAGGCTCCAGGTGGCCCGTGGGCTGGTGTGGCATGTGGGTGGCCGAGCTGGGGTCTGGGCAAGGCTGGTGCCGCCTCCCTGGGGGCCGTGAGGAGGGTGTTTGAGGGGCTTCCAGAGGGAGGTCTTGCCCCACCCCAGGCCTCCATGTCTCCTCCTGTCCCCTTGTCCTGGGAAGGGCTTTGCCCTGTCCTCGAGGGGCTGCTGTGGGAGGACCCTCGGCCTGATGCTGGCTCCAGAGCCTCGTCTGGGGTTGCAAGGTGTCTGATGCAAGTGTGGAAACGGAGGCTTTCCTTTCCCTTTCATGTTACTTTTTTTTTTGCTTGCGCAAGCAAAACAGATTTATGGGAAAACACAGAAAAACACAAAGAAGAATCCAAACCAGCCGTGGGGGCCTCTCTGACCCCCTGAAATGGCTCCCAGATCACAGAGCTGGAGTCCAAGGCTAGCCCAGATGACTTCTGGGCAGTGAGGAGAATGAGCTCCTTCCTGTAGCCTGGCAAGTGGGCGCTCCTGGCCCTGCTTCTGCACAGGGTAGAAAAGCCCAGAAAAGCCACCTTCCCAGAAACACCAGGCTTCTCTCCCTGCAGCTCTCAGGCTGGCCTTGTGCCCAGGGGGATGGGGTCACCCCATGGGGATGGGTTGGGCCTGTGTGGCTGCCAACGCTGGCCTCTGTTTGCTTTTCAGAGCTGTGCCTGAGACATAGCCCCCTGGATCCAACGCCCCACACGCTGGTGCAGCCCATCTCTGCCATGCTGGCCTCCGACCCCATCAGCTGCCCGCGCTGCCAGCATGGGACCGGGCAGCAGCCCTCAGGCCCAGGCAGCACGGATTCCGGCCAGGAGGGCTCGGGCTCTGGTGGCTCGGGTGGTGATGAGGTGGAGGCCGACGGGGACGGGCCCCGGAGCAGTGAAGATGGGGGGTCCTCAGGCCCGGGGAAGGAGGACGAGGAGGAACAGCCAGACGGGGCTGCCGGGCTGTGTGGGGACGTGTGGCGGGAGACACGAGGCAAACTTCGGGGCATCGTGGACAGCAAGTACTTCAACCGGGGCATCATGATGGCCATCCTGGTGAACACCGTCAGCATGGGCATCGAGCACCATGAGCAGGCCAGTGTCGTGGGGCTCCAGCTTGGGTGGGTGGCGTGGTGGGTGCGGAGGGGACCAGGCCGGGCCACCCTACCTGGGTGTCTGTCTCTCTGTTTCTGGCTGGAGCTGGGGTTAACTCATTCACGTGGCCCAGCCTGGGGCCCAGTCTGAGGCCACCTCCACCTGTGGCACGACTAACACCCAGGCTGGGTTTGGATTTCCACATCCCCTTGGTTTCCCTGCCAAGCCCTTCCTCCTGCCCAGTAGGGGCTGTGCTCTCATTTCCCCGTTCAGTAGCTCCCGGAGCACAGGCTCCATTCAGTTTACTCAAATTCGGCCCCCGGGGCTGCCACTAACACTTTGGTTGGAGCTGCTGGTTTGTCAGACTTTGCGGCTTCATTAAAAAGGCCCCCGGGGTGGGGTGGGGGGTGCTCCAGGGAGGTGCACAGTGGGTGAAGCTGGAGACACAGGCCGCCCAGACCCTCTCCTCCCCAGCCTCCGGCTTCCCGGCCTGGGGCTCCCAGGGATTACAGACCTAGGGGGTCTGTACCCCTGGAGAAGGTCCCGGGGGAGCAGCTGCTGTTGGGGCACTGGCTTGAGTGTCTGAGCCCCGCTACACCAGGGCAGAGCCACGTCCCCACCAGTGGTGTGCTGGAACCAGCCAGAGACACCCAAGTGTCTCACACTCAGGAATTTTGCAAGTGGCCGTTCAATAGCTGGCAGCTGGGAATTGGCCCGTGGAGGAAGGAGCTACACCACGGGGACTGGCAGGCCACACAAGTCAGGGGTGTCTGTCAGAGGCTGGTTTGCCAGCACACCGTGCCTTCTCGCACCCTCACCCAGGTGGTCACGGCCAGGGCGGCACCCCCAGTGCCCTGCAGTCCCAGGGTCCCCTGCCCAACTCTCTCCAGGGTCCCCTCAGTCTTACCACCCACCTGAGCGAGCCTTCCAACCCAGAATCTGACGGAGCCTCTTCCCTCTGAACAGCAGGTGCCATGTGGCACTGAAGTTGGCTCCTACCCGAGGCTCCCACCTGCCCAGTCTTAGGGCCCACTCTGATGTCCTCACCTGACTGTGTGCCCACTTCCTCTTAGGGATAGGCTGCCACTTACTGAACACCTGCTGAGTGCCAGCTTGAGACCGCCTGGCATCCGAGTCCTCACAACCTCTCTCCAAGCAGGCATTGTCTTAGTCACTTTCCCATCACCGACAAAATACCCAACACCCACAGCTTCAAGGTCAAGAGGTTTATTTTGGCTTATAGTTTCAGGGGGTTCAATCCAGGGTGGCTAGCTGCAAGGCAGAAGGGGCATGGCGGAAGGGCCCGGTGAAGGAAAGATGCTCAACCCATGGCAGCCGGGAAGCAGAGAGAGGAGGGAGGAGCCAGAGACAAGAATCCACCCCCCAGGTCACACTCCCAGTGATAGACCTCCTCCGGCCAGCCCCACCTCCCAGTAGCACATTCAGCTATGTACTCATCAGTGGATGAATCCATGGTCCAATCACCTTCCAAAAACCCCACCTCTGAGCACATGAGACTTTGGGGGCACATTTTAGTTCTAAACTAGAACAGGTGTCATTTTCTCCTTTCCTGCACACTTGGAAGGCTCAGAGGGGCCAAGCCCCTTGCTCAGGGTCTGGGTTCCAACCCTGGTTCTGTTGACTGACAGGGTGGGCCCCAGGTGAGTCCCTGTGTCTCTCTTAGCTCGTGTCTCCTTCTGTCAGTGGGCACACAGGCCCGTGACATAAATTTATTAAGAAGCCTGGTATGTAGTAGATGCTTATGAATCAGTCATGGCTTGTGAGTCTTTTGTTTGAGGCTTCTACCACCAGCCCTGGGTGAGTTTACCATCCGCTGTCTAGAGCCTCAAAAAAATTAATTAAAGAAAAAATGAGGAGGAGGAAGCATTTTTAAAATGTTCTTTTTAAAGCAGCTCCAAGTGGCAGCCATTGTGCCGCTGAGCTCCATGCTGGGGCTGCCCCTGGGCCCGCTGGTATTTTTGCTTCTCTCCCTTGGCTCCCAGACATTGCTCTGGTGGTGGTGGGGGAATGGTCCGCCCCCAAGTTTATTTTGAGCAGCCCCTGCTGAGGTGGTGCCTGCAGAGAGAGAGAGGTGGCCTAGGGCTGTGGAGGGAGAGAAGGGAGAGGAGAAGGAGAAGGCAAATGAACCCACCACCCTTTGCCTGGCCACACTCCACGCCCTACAAAGGCTGGTGGGGGCCTCTGTGCACCACCTTGCAGGGCACAAGGGCAAGGCCATGGCATCAGTAAAGTAGGGCTGGCCATTTCCATTTCCCTGGCCATGGAAGTTCAACAGAGGGTCTTTGGGGTAGTCACTGTTGCTCAGGACATCAGGGGCTGTCACTGGAACTAACTTGCCTGTCCATGTTCCTTGGCTCTGTAGTACTGTTCCTTGCAGGAATTGGATGAAAGGAAGTGACAGGGGAAGGGGGTGGGGGTGTCAGTCAGACAGGGCCTGTTTGCGCCGCAGGAGGTTGGAGCTGGTGTTCAAGTCCGAAGGAGGGGGGCCCACAACAGTCCATGGCTATGTGCTGGCAGGAGGGTCAAATTGGCCTGGGCAGCAAATTCTTTCATTAATGTCACAGCTCTACCTTGTGGGCAGGCAGGGTGGATGACTCACCCCCACTGGCCAGAGGGGGACACTGAGGCTCTGCAAGGTGAAATGGATTGCCCACATGAGCAGCTGGCAGTGCTGGGCCCCAAAGTGCTGGGGCAGCGTGGATGGTTGCACTAGAAGTGAGGGAATAGGTCAGGACGACAGGGCTCCCTAGACAGTCTCTGCCTCAACTGCCCCCCTGCTAGTGCACCCCAGCCAGGCTCACAGCTCTTCACCAGCTGGGCAGGGTCAGCTACAGCCTCACCTGGAATCAGAGGGTAGTCAAGGTGGTGGACGAGAGACAGAGGGTGGGGCTGAGTGGGCAGCAGGGCGGGGAGCAGGGAGGCTCTCTGGGGTAGGGCTGACTCCGGGCCAGGGCATGACCACCATCCTCAGCTCCCAGAGAACTGTGCACTCTGTAGCAGTGAGTGGCCTGAAGCTCACTTTAAGTTCCTTTCCCCAGGGCCTGTCAAGTCACTGCCGACCCAGGACTAGGATGACTCTGAGAAGAGGAGGATGGGGTGCCTCAGTGGCTGACATTCCAGCCTGTGGGAGCCCAGGAGAGAAAGGCACCAACACGAGCTGAAGTCAGGAAAGGCTTCCAGGAGCTGGCAGCTCTGGGGCTGGATCCTGGAGGCTGTCTATGAGTTCATCAGACAGGCAGGCACTGGGACCAGAAGTGCAGAAAATGCTTCCCGAAAGACCCTGAGCCAGAAGAGTGTGCTAGGCAGATAGCACAGGGGGTGTTCCTGCCCCAAGGGCCTTGAGGCCGGCTTTATCCTTAGGGCAGTGGGGAGCCATGGAGCACTTGATAGCAGGGGAGTGAGAAGACTGATGCCTCACTGGCCAAGTGAGCAGCTGAATGGGCCATGGGGATGGGGTTGAGGCTGCAGGAGAGGCCTGAGCCTGAGATCCAGCCCCACTGCTGCTCGCCCACGACCCAGGACCCCAGTGGCCACTTCTCCTCTCTGAGGCTTGGGCTCCCTGTCAGTAAAATGAGAACAAGATAGAGGTTGGATGCTTGGATGAGATGGTGCACGGCAAGTGCTGGGCTGGGCTGGCGGGACACCCGGGCCAGTGTAGGGATCCTGCTTAGCCGTACCCTGTTCCTGCAGAGTGGCCAGCAGCGGGCTTTCCGGGGTCCCCAAGCTGGCATCAGGCAGGGGCACTGGCCCTGCCCCTCTGCCCTCCCACCTCTGGCTTAGCCTGGGGCTCTCTGCCTTTCAGCACCTGCTCTTCACCTGGGGGGGTCTCTGCCATCTCCAGTGGCCTCTCCACTGTCTGTCTGCCTGCCTGTTCCTTTTGTGTCTCTCGCTTTTTGGTTCTTACCATGTCCAGAGCTGTCTATGTGTCCGTCTCTCTTCTGAGGCTCCCTCTGTCCATCCTGCTCCATTGCTGCCTGTGTCTTCCCACACCTCCTTCCCCAGTCTGTCCCTTGCTGTCTATAGTCATCTGTCTGTCTCTCTCCAGCCTGTCTTGCTCCCAGAAAAAGTGCTCTCGGGAGTGATGGATGGTCCATTAGGAAAAGATTAACAGGTGTGCAGTGCCTGGAGAAACAGCTGTGGCAGGGGAGGAGGGAGGCGAGTGGGTGACCTTTCGGGGAGAGCAGTGGGTCCTCGCTGATTGCTGACGGAGGAAGCGTGTGTGCCGCGTGTGTGGCGGAGAGCCAGATGATCATCATCGCTGACTGTCAGGGTCCACCGTTCTCATCTCTGTGGACGTGGTGTGGGTGGGCTGGGAAATTGGCAGCTGGGAGCAGCACCTGAGCCCTCCCCACTGAGCCCCCGCTCGGGGTCCTGCTCCCTTTTGGGAGCACTTTGTGAGTCAAATGTAATTACAGATGGAAATGGGGCCTTCTCCTTTCATCTGGCTTGAGAAGAGCTGGCAGTTTTATTAGATTTTCCAGGCACTAGGTGGGGAGCTGGTGGTTGGGTTATTTTATTTTTTTCTTCTCCTTTTAAGCCACATGGAATCAAAGTCAGGCCCCTGAGGCTTCTTGTTGTTCAGTGGAGGGACCGGAGGGTACTGATGGACAGGAGATGGCCTGCCATGATCCGTTCTCTCTTCCCTGTCTCAGGCTCTCTTCTTAGCTCTTAGGTCTCTGCTGAGATAGTCCTCCCTCCAGGAGTCCTCTGGGCCCCGGTGCCACTGTCGCTCAAACCAGCCTCAGCTTCTCTGTATCGGCAGGGACTGTGTGGCTCGTTAGTGTGGTCCATGGGACTTTGTCACCCAAAGGTGAATTTCTCCATCGCAGCTGCCAGCACATGGCAGGTGCTCGGGAGATCTGTGGAAATCCTGCAGGAATGAATGAAGGCATGGATGTGTGAGTTGGGGTGCAGTTTCAGGGTGATGTATTGGGATGGCACTTTGGAGTCTAGCTTGGGTCAGTGCCTAGGCCCTGTGCGCTCTTTGGTGGGTCCCCAGGGAGCTGCAGGGGGGATTGAGGGGGTGAGCCCTGTGGGGTCTTAGCAAGGGCTGGGAATGGACGTGGCCCCGCGTCCACCCTGGATAGATGGACAAGGAAGCAAAGGCTCAGAGGTGCAGGAAAGTGACTTGCCCAGGGTCACATAGCCACTTAACATCCAAACCAGGCCTGGAGCCTTCTCTGCCCATCATGACCAGTTTCCAACTCAGGGATCCCTTGGTAAACAGCTGCAGGGGCAGAGGGAGGTCTGTGGCTAGATTGGGCAAGGGAAGCTGCTGTCCCTTCGACTAGCTGGTGACTTTGGGCAGTCCCCTTGTCTTCCATGGGGCCTTGAGTCCTTCCTGAGCTCCACAGTGGCGGCGTTCTGTGTGTCGGGCTGTGCCTGGTGTTTGTCCCACAGTGGGAGATGGCTGGACCATCTGTGAAATGGGTGCTGTGCTGCCTCCTCTGGGTGTGGCCCAGCATCCTTTGCCGACATGGGAGAAGTCTGCCCTTCCACCTTGGGGGACCTCCCAGGACACGGAAGTGGCAGAGACAAGAGGTGCTCAAGGTCACAGAGCGAGCTCTAGGGAACACACAGACCCGCCAGGGTCACAGACCCCCATCGCCTTGCAGCCTGAGGAGCTGACCAACATCCTGGAGATCTGCAATGTGGTCTTTACCAGCATGTTCGCCCTGGAGATGATCCTGAAGCTGGCCGCCTTCGGGCTCTTCGATTACCTGCGGAACCCGTACAACATCTTCGACAGCATCATCGTCATCATCAGGTACCTGTCCGTCTCTGCTCCTGCCAGCAGCAGAGGAGGGGGATTTAATTTAATTCCTGAGCTTCCTAGATTTTTGCTGTAACCTTCTTAGGGGGGCTTTGTGGGTTCTGGGTTAAGAGGGTCTGATTTGGGGGTGCCACCCACAGACCATCGTTCAATACATTACTTGTTGGATGGATGGGTGAATGGATGAATGAATGGCAGCTGTCTGTTTCTTTGTCCTCCCCTTCCTCCTTTGCCCTCCTCTCCTCTTGGCCTCCCCACTGCCCCTTCTGGCTCCTCCTGTGCCCACAGCATCTGGGAGATTGTGGGGCAGGCGGATGGCGGGCTGTCAGTGCTACGCACCTTCCGGCTGCTGCGGGTGCTGAAGCTGGTGCGGTTCATGCCTGCGCTGCGGCGCCAGCTGGTGGTGCTCATGAAGACCATGGACAACGTGGCCACCTTCTGCATGCTGCTCATGCTCTTCATCTTCATCTTCAGGTGAGCCCTGCCCACCCTGGGGACCAGCCCTGCCAGCGTGGCTGGTTGAGCCTCTCCAGGACAAAGCCACCTAGATGTGGTGCAAATCCTGGCCCCACAATTCAATCCCTGTGGCTCTGGGCAGGTCCTGCCCCTGAACCTCAGTGGTGTTCACCTTTGTAAAGCGGGACCAATGCTGCCCCTCCCCCAGCTGACTGGGCTGTGGAAGGAAACAGGTGGGTGGGCAGAGTTCGGGGTGTGCCAGTCCCTTGAGCTGCCTTTGTCCCTCCTCCAGCATCCTTGGGATGCACATCTTCGGCTGCAAGTTCAGCCTCCGCACCGACACGGGAGACACGGTCCCCGACAGGAAGAACTTTGACTCCCTGCTGTGGGCCATTGTCACGGTGTTTCAGGCGAGTGGCAGCAGTGTGTCTGTGTGTTTCAGGAGAACCGATCTGGGGCAGTGAGCCTGTCCACCTCAACCCCTACCCATAGGTGGCGGGGGGGGGCGGTTTGCGCTCAGAGGCTGGGCCTGGGCTGGGGATCTCAGGGCCTACTGTGTCTCTCTCCACAGATCCTCACCCAGGAGGACTGGAATGTTGTCCTCTATAATGGCATGGCCTCCACCTCCCCCTGGGCCTCCCTGTACTTCGTTGCTCTCATGACCTTTGGCAACTATGTGCTCTTCAACCTGCTGGTGGCCATCCTGGTGGAGGGTTTCCAGGCTGAGGTGACTGCAGCCTTGGGGGGAGTGTCCCCACAAGGCCTGCAAGACACGGGGCAGGGGAGAGGGGCCTTGGCTGGGGGAGGGCTGCAATTCAGTCTCCAGGTAACACATCCCTGAGGGAGAGTGTGAATGAGGTGGTGAGCTTCCCATCACAGGGAGCATGCAACAGAGGCTGCATCTGGGTCCCCGGCTCTCCCTGGGGGTGAAGGACCAGACTTCTTCATCCCTGAGATTCTGAATTCCCCAAGATCTGCGATTCTGGGTCCTGCTTCTTCTATTCTCTTGGTGGTAGTGGTGGGTCCTTACAGTCAGGCAGATGGGGGTTTGTAGCCTAGGTTCTCATTAGCTTCTGAGCCTCAGTTTCCCCATCTGTAAAATGGGAATGGAAACACCACTGAAGACTTCAGGCGGCAGGGAGGGAGGAAAGATGAAAAGGGCTGAGCTGACATGTGTCTCAACATGGACCCATCTCCCAGGGTGATGCCAACCGCTCCTATTCAGATGAGGACCAGAGCTCATCCAACATGGAGGAGTTGGACAAACTCCAGGAGGGCCTGGACAGCAGCGGAGGTAAACAGGCCTCTACTGGTCCCTAGAGACCCAAGGGGGGCACAGGGCAGAGCACTTGGCTTCCCCCTCCAGCCCAGGCTCTATGCCAGCTAATTCTCTGTGGCTGGTTGTTCACGTCCATAATGGAAACAAATGCTATATATAGAAGAGGACAGAGCATGCATGGACATCCTGGATTCTGGCCCCGGGAGTAGCAGAAGTCCACCTGCTTCTCAGTGATTCAGGAACCCCTGTTCTCAACCCTTATTGGCTAGGATGTGGCCCAGGTTCTGGTCCTTCCTGGAATCCAATGGACAGCTTGGGACAAGCCTTTCCTACCCCAAGCCCAGAGTGCTTCTCAGCAACCCAGGCAGACAGTCTCTGCCTTGCTTCTCTCGGAAGGAAGTGAGGTGCCCAGCTGGCTGCAGTGGCAGGCTGGCCTGAACACAGATGCCAGGGGCTCTGTGCATACACAAGCAAAGAGCCCTGCAGGCAAGGTGGAGGGAGGGGAGCCACCTGAGATGGGGTGCACCCAGAAGAGTTCCTCGTGCAGGAAGTCACAGCAAAGCTCTCTGCTTCTGTTATGTCCACATCTGTTTTTTTGTCTCATGGCTTCCTTTGCTCTTGTTCTGTTTGTCTATTTGCTGTCTGTCCCTCTGTCTCCACCTCATTCCTCCAGATCTCAAGCTCTGCCCAATCCCCATGACCCCCAATGGGCATTTGGACCCCAGTCTCCCACTGGGTGGGCATCTGGGCCCCTCTGGGGCTGCAGACCCTGCCGCCCGCCTCTCCCTGCAGCCAGACCCCATGCTGGTGGCCCTGGACTCCCGAAAGAGCAGCGTCATGTCACTGGGGAGGATGAGCTATGATCAGCGCTCCCTGGTGAGTCCCGTGGGGTGCTCAGGATGGGTGCTCCTGCTGGGGCGAGGGAGGCACATGCATCACCAAACTGCCTGGCCCAAACCAGGCAGGGATCATATCTGTTCCATTCCTGGGTGCCCAGTGCCAGAGTTGGACCCAGCGTTAAGGAAAAGAATGAATGAATGAATGTTGCCAGAGGGCTGTGGCACAGAGAACTGGGTTTTCATGTTGGCAGCAATGTGCAGGGTACAGACTTTGGGGTCAGACACATTAGAACTTGAATAGAGTCTATTTACCCCTGAGCTGCGTGACCATGAGCAAATGACTACCTTTCGCTGAGCCTCAGTTTCCTTACGTGTCAAATAGGGGGATGGCCCTACCTTGCTGTGCCTTCCCCAGGGGAAGGGAGCTGACGGGAGGGCATGTCCTGTGGATGAACCGAGAGGGGGGCAGGGTTTGGACCCGGGGTCACTGACCCTGCCGGCCTCCTACAGTCCAGCTCTCGGAGCTCCTACTACGGGCCGTGGGGCCGCAGCGGGGCATGGGCCAGCCGCCGCTCCAGCTGGAACAGCCTCAAGCACAAGCCGCCATCGGCGGAGCACGAGTCCCTGCTCTCCGCTGAGCGCAGCGGCGCCCGGGTCAGCGAGGGCGCTCGGGACGAGGGTCCGCCGCGCGCTGCGCCCCTGCACGCCCCGCACGTCCACCACGCGCACCACGGGCCCCACGTGGCGCACCGCCACCGCCACCACCGCCGCACGCTGTCCCTCGACACCAGGGACTCGGTGGACCTGGCCGAGCTGGTGCCCACTGTGGGCGGTCACCCGCGGGCCGCCTGGAGGGCGGCGGGCTCGGGCCCCGGCCACGAGAACTGCAATGGCAGGATGCCCAGCATCGCCAAGGACGTCTTCACCAAGATGGACGACCGCAGGGACCGCGGGGACGACGAGGAGGAGATCGACTACGTGAGTGGGGCCGGCCTTGTCTGTAGAGGGTGGAGGAGGGACCAGGGCGTGGCCCGAGGAGGCGTGGAGGTGGGCGGGGTTTGGGTGTGGCGTTTGATGGGCGTGCTGTGGGCCTTGGTGCTCTGCTGAGCTTGATAGGAGGAGCTGGGTCTGCCGTGGGAAAGAAGCCCCCCCCCCCCCCGCGCCTTCTTTGAATGGGGTGAGGGTTCAGGGATCATCCAGAGCCCCCAGTTTGCTAACCCGTCCCGCACGGCGTCCTCTGGCCAGACCCTGTGCTTCCGCGTCCGCAAGATGATTGACGTCTACAAGCCCGACTGGTGTGAGATCCGTGAGGACTGGTCCGTCTACCTCTTCTCTCCTGAGAACAGGTGGGCACAGCCGGGCTTGTAGTGTGGATGAGCATAGAGGTGACATGTCTGGGAGAGAGTGCTCTCTGCCAAGCCAGGAAGGGCATTAGCGGTGCACTCACATACCCTGGGATTGAGGGGCAGGGAGGGTGAGCGTCCAGATGCCTGGACAGGGCTTTCCTGGGCATCTCTTGTGGTCTTGGCCAGCCCTGTGCTGGGCACCAGGTCGGACAGATCCTCAAGCAGCCTGGCGTGGTCACACATTTCGTGTGGGGGATCAGAAGGCTTCCTGGAGGAGGAGTCTGAGGAGGAGAGGTCCTGGTGGAGGAGGCAGCTTGAGGGAATGTCTAGGGCAGGAGCAGAGGGTAGCTGACAATGTGGGGCCTTGGTACTGAGGACAGGGGCCATGTTTGGAAAGCCTTGAATGCCAGGGCAAGGTGGGTGCCCGTCACTGCATTGATGTGTGATCAGGAGGAAGCTGGAGATGGGCGCCCTGAGCAGATGTGAAGCTGGCACCTGTTGGAGGAGAGGGGGGTCACTTCCTCTAGGCTATCCTGGGCCCCGTGTGTGTGCAAGGTGAGAGGCAGGAGGCACTCTGACACTCCTGGCCCCTTGCCCAGGTTCCGGGTCCTATGTCAGACCGTCATCGCCCACAAGCTCTTTGACTACGTGGTCCTGGCGTTCATCTTCCTGAACTGTATCACCATTGCCCTGGAGCGGCCCCAGATCGAGGCAGGCAGTACCGTGAGTGGCTGGGACCTGGGGTAGGGCAATGGGCCAGCCAGGGGGAGCAGTGGTAAGAAGGAGAAGGTCACCTGGGGCTGAGACATGGGCCCTCTCCTGGCTGCCCCTGGGCTGACCCCGAACCTGAGCTGTGGGCTTCCTGGGTCCCATGACATCTCCCATCTCTTTCAGGAACGAATCTTCCTCACCGTGTCCAACTACATCTTCACAGCCATCTTCGTGGGCGAGATGACACTGAAGGTCTCTGAGCTTCACCTGGACCCCTAGCTCGGCCCTCCCGCCCTTGTCACTGGCCTGCCCATCAGCAGCGTTCTCCAGGCCCCGGAGGACCACCACCTCCACTGGGTGCCAGCCCCTGGGTTGGGCTTGTGGGACACAGAGGGGGTCCATGGCGTCCCGCCTCTCCTGGAAGGCGGATGCAGGGAGGGACACTGACCGTGTAATGGTAATGGCGGTACCTGCTAGAGGTGTGGGGCTTAGGGAAAGATTCCGTCTCAGAGCTTCCCAGGGCCGCCAACGTGGCTTCGGATCGGGCTTGCTAGATGTGCTAACAGGACGGACGCCTGGGGCCCGACTCCGCCCCTTCCTTGCCCACCGCTCACCCCCAAGGGAACCGCCCTTGAGCTGGTCCCGCCCCACCCGTCGCCCCGCCCTCTGGTGTGGAGTACACTGGCCCCGCCCCTCCCAGCTGACCGGCCCCGCCCCCAGGTGGTGTCGCTGGGCCTGTACTTCGGCGAGCAGGCGTACCTGCGCAGCAGCTGGAATGTGCTGGACGGTTTCCTTGTCTTCGTATCTATCATCGACATCGTTGTGTCTGTGGCCTCTGCCGGGGGTGCCAAGATCCTGGGAGTCCTCCGGGTTCTGCGGCTGCTGCGCACCCTGCGCCCCCTGCGGTGAGGGGCTGGAATTGCTATACTTTGCGGGAAATCACTGGGGTCTAAGTGGGACCCTTGCTCCAATTTGGAGCACATTCAGACCTCCAGTAGCACCTGCTAAACAGCCTAGTACCAGCTCCTCGGGGAGGAGCTGGGAGACCTGGGTGTGGGGTGAAGGATACTGATAGGGCAGGCGTGAAGGTGGTCCCAATACTATTACCCACCTCTGGGTGCCTCTCTCCCCTGTAGACCAGGGGTGTGTCGTGGACCTCAGGGGACTGGGCACAGTGAGAGGGAGGGGAAGTGCCCTCTTGTGTATCAGTCTGAGCCAGCTGGCAGCTCACTGCCTGTTCTGCCAACCCGGCCGCCTTCTCATTCTTTGCTGCTGTCCTCGTGCCCTTGGGGCCTCACCACTGGCCACTTGCAGGCTCACAGTGCCCCCTGGGTCCTCCTTGTCCACAGCGTCATCAGCCGGGCCCCTGGTCTGAAGCTGGTGGTGGAGACACTCATCTCGTCCCTCAAGCCCATCGGCAACATCGTGCTCATCTGCTGTGCCTTCTTCATCATCTTCGGCATCCTAGGGGTGCAGGTGAGGGGCACCAGGCTGTGCAGGGGCTGGGGGCGCTCTGTGGCTGGTCCAGGGGAAGCCCAGCAAGCCAGGGCAGGGGCTGGACACGTCTCTCGCCCTCACCCACCTGTGCTGCCCTGCCTGCCGGCTTAGGTGGGTGTGGCACAGCAGCTGTGGTTCTTGGCAGAGAGGCTGCATAGCGCCCAGCCCAGATGACCCAGCCCAAGGGAGGCTGGGTCCGTGTGATTGGAGGGGCGGGTTCTCCTGAAGTGTCCCCAGCACCCCGGGAGTACTAACTTTGCCTTCTCCCTTCAGCTCTTCAAGGGCAAATTCTACCACTGTCTGGGGGTGGACACTCGCAACATCACCAACCGCTCTGACTGCGTGGCTGCCAACTACCGCTGGGTCCACCACAAATACAACTTCGATAACCTGGGCCAGGTGAGCATTGCCCGCTTACCTCTTAGCTGATCTGCACCCTAGGGGTGACAGCTCTTCAGTGCTGATGGCCCTGGGCTCACAAACCAAGCTCCTTTCTGAGTTTGTTTCCTGTTCTGCAAAATGGGTAAGGGGGGTACTCCCCTCTCTGAGCTCCTGCGTGCAGAGAGGCTGGACAGTGTCCAGCACTTGGTAGAGCTTCCCTGGACATTGGTCCTGGCCTTCACCCCCCACCCAGGGCACCCTGACAGTTTAATCAGCGGCTCCGTCATCTTACTGTGGGTGTGACCTCTTTGAGCCTCAGTGTCCTCATCTTTGAAATGGGAAAGTTACCAGGCAGGCAGTGGGAACCCTCTGCAGCCTGGCTTGAGTTCTCTTTCTCATCACTTACCTTCTTTGTTTTCCACTCCAGTTGGCAGGCAGGCCTCTGCCTGGTTCCCACTGTGCTCTTGGTGCCCCCTCCTGGCCACCTGCCAGGCTTAACCTATTTGGGCAGTGCCCAGGTGAGAACTCTTGGCCCTCACTTCAGTGCCTTCTAAGAATCTGCCCCAAGTGTTCCCCTTTCCTGAGAGCCCACCAGGCAGCCTTGTCCCAGGGCAAGTTTGTAATGCTCTGTCCCTCCATCTCCTGGAAGCGGAAGAATGGAGCACTGAGGAGGTTCAGGTGCAGCCCGAGCTGCCCAGGCCCCTCACCCCTGTACCCTCCCCTCCGTGTCTTCCAGGCTCTGATGTCCCTCTTTGTCCTGGCCTCCAAGGACGGCTGGGTGAACATCATGTACAACGGGCTGGACGCTGTGGCTGTGGACCAGCAGGTGGGCATGGCTGGGGCCAGGCCAGGTCCAGATGGCGGGAGGGACATGTTGTCTTTAGGGCCTAGTGGTCTGAAACCAGCTCCTGTGAGGCCTACCTGGTGTCTCCCACCATCACCCACCCCCACCCCTCATATCCTGATCGGAACCTTCCCGGGCAGGGCCACCCTTTGGGTGCTGCAAACTCCTGCTGTGCAGGGAGTGCGAGCCCAGCCGGCTCCTGCCTGGTAGAGGAATGAGAGGAAGAAGACAGATGTGTTTGGGAGGCAGCAGTTGGAGCAGGGAGGGAAAGGGGTTCTCTTTGCTGAGAGCCTGGGACGGATGGTCCGCAGGTCCCCGGGTGCCATGGCCAGGGGGCCATGCTAGGGGAGGAATTTTATTCTGAGGGCAGAGGGAGCCAGTAAAAGGGTTACAGCAAGAGTGGGGCCCGTGCCTGCGAGGTGGCTGATGCTGTGTGATGTTGCTTTGGGAAGGGGACTGGGTGGAGAGGGTCAGGGAGGATATCAGGTGCCCGAGCGAAGGCCTGAGCCTCAGTTCCGAAGATCCCAGTGGGAGCAGGGCCCCTCTGGGTCTGGGCAGGTACTTAGGCAGGACACGGCTGACCAGGGCTGGCTGTGTCCAGATGACCAGGCTGAGAGGTGGTCAGGAGAAGAGCGGGGAGAGTCTCTGGGTCAGGACAGAGCCCACGCTGGAGGAGTCGGGGTGGCAAGGACCCCAGGGCTGAGAGTGGCCTTGGCCATTTGGCTTTCTGAGACCCACCTGGTTAGTCACTGGAGGTGGAGGAGGGCTGTAGGGATGTTGAGGGAATGAGAGCATTGGAGGCACTTTCCTCCACTCTTCTGTCTCTTCTGTCCCCACCCCAGCAGCGTATGTGCACACGTAGACCCTGCCAGGCTCGGCTCACCGCTCTCCTGACTGCCTTGTTTCTGGATGGATGAGTGAACTGATGGAAGGAAGGAAGAATGGGGGATCATTGAGGGGTTGGATGGGTGGCCTGTAACTGGGTGGGTGAATGGATGGATGGGATGCTTGCTTGCATGGGTGAGTGAAGGGAGGTGAATGAGAGGAAGGAGACATGTGTTTGGGAGGCGGCAGGTGGAGCAGGGAAGGAAAAGGGGTTCTCTTTGCTGAGCACTTGTGCAGGTCCAGGGTAGGACTTCCCACCTGCCTCTTCCAAAGCTCACAGTCAGCCTGGAGGCGGGCTCCGTTGGTCCCACCACTCCAGGCTTGGCGAGATCAGGCTCCCACATAGTGCTGCGGTGCCCAGTCAGCCTCCTCAGGCCTGGATCTGGCTCCCTGCAGCCCGTGACCAACCACAACCCCTGGATGCTGCTGTACTTCATCTCCTTCCTGCTCATCGTCAGCTTCTTCGTGCTCAACATGTTTGTGGGCGTGGTGGTGGAGAACTTCCACAAGTGCCGGCAGCACCAGGAGGCTGAGGAGGCGCGGCGGCGAGAGGAGAAGCGGCTACGGCGCCTGGAGAAGAAGCGCCGCAGTGAGTGGGCGGCTGCGTGTGTGTGGGGGCTCGCTGACCCCAGGCCCTTCTGCCCAGGGCCTTTGGAGCTGGAAGGGAACAAAGGACATGGTCCCTGTGTCTGTGGTGTGGCCCTTTCTCCTCGCCTCTGCCCGCCCAGTGCCCCTCAGTGGTTACTTAAGTCCTGGGGTGACACCACAGAGTGTCACTGGAGTGGGGCCCAAGCTGAGGGCAGAGGGAGAGCCTGGATGCACGTTGCAGTGAATCTGGGTCCTGCCCTCTGCCACCCTCCCCATCTTCCTGTTTCCCTCATGGTGCCCTGCATGGGTGGGAGGAGACCTAGCTGATCTGGGGCCAGGTGGACCAGCATGTTCTTCCCTTGCTTCTTTCCTCCACTCTGCCTTTTCCTCCATTGTGCTCTGTCCCCTTCCCCTTGGCCCCAACCTTCTGTGATCTGTGCCACTCCCCACATTGTCCCCTTGCAGAAGCCCAGAGGCTGCCCTATTATGCCACATACTGCCCCACCCGGCTGCTCATCCACTCCATGTGTACCAGCCACTACCTGGACATCTTTATCACCTTCATCATCTGCCTCAATGTGGTCACCATGTCCCTGGAGCACTACAACCAGCCCACGGTGAGCCCAGGTTGCCTCTGAGCCCAAGGTCACACCATGAAAATGAGGCTGGGGATCTCAGGGACAGAATGGGATGTCAACTGAAGGGTCTAAGAAACCCCTCTGCACCTAGCTCTGTGCTGGGCACTGCAGGGGAGGAGGCTCAGGACAGCCCTGCCCTACCCACGTTATGGCCTGGAGGGGACAGATTCATGACAAGGAAAGGTCATTGATTCTGTGGAGGTGGATTTTGGGACCAGCCTAGAACATGAGTCACAATGGCTGTGGTGTGCTACATGCTGACTCTTTGACACACTACATAAATTAACTCTTCAGTCTTCACAGTGATTTCTTCAAAATCAAGAGGAACCCTGTCTAGATTTTGTAGATGAAGAAACTGAGGCCCAGAGAGGTTCAATTACTCAGCTGTAGGGTATGGAACCAGAACTAGAGCTTGGATTTGCATTCAAAGCCTACCATGGATCCACTACTATGAGCTGACCATATGGAGACTAGAGGAAGGCTTAAGGTGGCAGGGCCACTACAGGCAGTCACTAGAGGAGGAGGAAGAGGGGGACCGGTTCCTAGAATTGCAGACAAAGTGTGTGAGGAGATATGAAGGACACATATATTCTAAAAGCCTCAGCTCGATGGAGTTAGTAGGAAAGAAGGGGAGAGTAGAACTTTTAGTTGAGGAAAGAGTATCTTACTTCAAATGTTAGAGAAGACTGTTATTAATGGAGGATAAAGGAAGGGAACCATGGACAGAAAGGAAAAGTAATTGTAGAACTTCCAAATTAACATGGAGTAGACATGGAATAATCATTGCTCACATTTACCAAGTATTCATTCTATGTCCAGCACTGAACTATGAGCTCATTTAATTTTCACAGCAACTTTTGGAGGTAGGTGCTATTATTTTCTATAGTTTTTAGATTAAGAAAGTAAGTGCTGAGAAAGAGGCCAATCTCTTGCCTTAGGTCACATGATGAATAAGGAGAAATGCTAAGACAGGATTTAAATCTAGGCAGTCTAGTTTGGATTCCTTAACCACTACCCCTCCTGCTCCAAAGAGGAACAACTGGACAAACCAACAGAAATAAAGAAAAGGGGATAACAATGTAAACTGAATAATACACATTAAGTAAGACTGAAGAAATACAAGTAGATAAATTATTGTACTAAACGTGAATGGTCTAGATTTTCCCCTTAAAAGGCAGAGACTTCCCATCTGGAGTAAGTTTATGGGGGTGTGTCACGGGGACTGGATTATGCTTCTTTTGCTCCTCGTAGTCCCTGGAGACAGCCCTCAAGTACTGCAACTACATGTTCACCACTGTCTTTGTGCTGGAGGCTGTGCTGAAGCTGGTGGCATTTGGCCTGCGGCGCTTCTTCAAGGACCGGTAAGTGGCTGGGCCATGCATGGTAGGGCAGCAGGGTGGGGAGTCAGTCTTGGAGAGACCTGGGGCAGCCTGAGGAGGGGACCCAGTAAGCATCTGGGCATTGGTGACCAGAAGCTCCCAGCTGACACCAGTATATCTGAGCAGGAAGTGATGAGGTCTCAGGGAGTGGGCATAGGGCATTCCAGGCCCTTCTCAGCCCACCTCCATTCCTGCAGGCAGAGCAGATCTGCCTTATGCTAATTCTCCTTTTCAGAAGGAGCAAGTGAGGCTGGGAGTAACCATTGCACTTGCCCAAAGCCATGCAGAGAAGGCAGGTGGCTCGAGATTTAGATTTAAATGACTGCACTGGTCATTTCTGCTTCATCACAGTCAGAGCACCTGCTTCCTCCCCTGTGGGAGGCCAGAGGTGTTGATTTAGCTGTGTCAGCCCTTGATTGGGAAGCTGTTAGGTGTAGAAAGGGGGCAGGGCCCAGGGACATCTGGAGAGGCTACAGGGAGGGTGGCCACACAGCCCAGTGGGCCACACCAGAGGCGGAGGAAGGGTGAGGCTGCCTTCAGTGAGATGTGACCCTGAGTCCCACCCTGCCCTCCTCCTCCCTGCTGAGCAGGTGGAACCAGCTGGACTTGGCCATCGTGCTGCTGTCTGTCATGGGGATCACGTTGGAAGAGATCGAGATCAACGCGGCACTGCCCATCAACCCCACCATCATCCGCATCATGCGGGTCCTGCGCATCGCCCGGGGTGAGGGGCAGGGAGCGGTTGGGCTGGTGCAGGGTGGGGCTTGCTGTTCCCTGAGAAGAGCACCCAGGATGGGGCAGGGCCCAGCACCACCTGTGGGTTCACAGCCTTGCCCCACTCCCGCTCCCCTCTTCCTGTTGTGACACACTTGCCTCCTGGCCTGGCCTCACCCAGTCCAGCTGGACGATGTGCGACGGCTCCAACTGTGACAGGAACAGGGTCCTCTTGCTCTTCCCTGTCCTCTTGCTTTTCTGCTGCTTCCTGCCTGTTACTGCTGCATGCCCTATGCCCAGGGTGGTGCCCAGCAGCCTGGCGGGTGACACCGGAGTCCTATTTAGCCAGAGGGAAGGGAAAAGACCTGGACACTCATGCTGGTCATCTCTCTTTCATCACGGTCAGTGAGACACTCAGTCACACCCTTATGTCCCTCGGCTCCCATGTACATGTCCTCGTTCTCGGGGATGTTTTTCCACTGATGGCCACACCTTGTGTCACGAGTTTTATGCACAGCACCATTCACCCCTTAGCTGCACCTGTGCTCTTGCAGTGAGACACCTGAGTGGCCCCTGCTTGCACGCTGCTGTGTGCCCCCTCTTCTCCCGAGTTCACACACTTGCACACAGATAGGCACACACATGGGCCCACTGCCTGGGCTGAGCGGGCCGGGCTGGTCTCGCCCACAGTGCTGAAGCTGTTGAAGATGGCCACAGGGATGCGGGCGCTGCTGGACACGGTGGTGCAGGCCCTGCCCCAGGTAAGGGCTGCTCCTCTGCATGGCCCTGCTGGGGGACATTGGCATTGGGGTGGACCCTGGGGGTGCAGACCGAGACTCCCTTTCTCCCCATACCTGCCCAGACCCAGGGGAAGCAGTTGGAGCCAGGGGCCCCTCCTGTCCCCCTCTTCCGGGCTTCACTGTATGGTCACTCACGCCTCCCCAGCAACCTGCCTGGATGGGCACAGAGAACCCGCATAATGCCCTGGGGGCCCCCAGGGTGGTGGGGAAGATGGATGCCTGCAGTGTGCTTGTGGGGAGAGGAGGGCACTAGGCGCTTCCACTGGAAAGGGGATCTTTGAGCTTGACCTGGCAGAGCAGCTTGGCAGGAGGCAGCGGGGTGTGGGTGAAGAGGTCGCGATACAGCATTTGGGGTGGGCAGCGGGAGACCCTGACCTGGTGGGGAACCTTGAGCAGTTGGGGAAGTTGCCTGGTCAGTGGGAGGGGAGCTGGTGATTCTGCAGTCACCATGCACCACCACCCTGTCCCCACGGCTCGAGGCTCCCCTCCAGCACTCCCAGGGTGGCCTGCACTCCAAGGGGAACCCTCAGCACATTCACTTCTTCCTTTCAACGCCTCAGGCCTTAAGCAACTTTCAGTATTTTAAAACAAAATGCATGGGCATGACACAGTAAAAATAAGTGTAAAGATCAACAGCCCAGGGAGGATGGAATCCAGGGTAATTCTCTCAGGGGCCTGGGATAAGGACACCAGTGAGTTCTGTCTTCAAGTTTGGTGTGAGCATCCTAGTGACTGATTACAAAGGGAAAGTGACATGGCTTTGGTCAGATCTGCAGGGAAAGCGAGGACATTCACTCAGAGATGTCGTTTTCTGTAATGTACAGAAGGTAGAGGTGGTGCTGGGCTGGGAAGGGTGTGCAGACGGAAAGTGGCTTGAGCCTAGACCTGGAATCAAGGTATCCTGTTGGGTCTTCCTGGACCAGCGTCAAGCTGGCACAGTCCACATACAATGGTAATTGCAGGGACATTGGCCCGAATGACAGGCATGTGCCAAGGGGGGCGGGGCTTGCCCTTCAGAAGCTATTAGCTGATGCCCATGCAGCCAATGGATGGCACAAAGGGCAATGAAAGCCAAGCTTAGCTCTTCCTGGAGCAGAGGGAGGGGGCAGTGGAGAGGGCTCCACAGAGGAGATGCCTGGTGATTTAGACTCTGAGGGGTGAGGAGGATGTAGCATTGATCAGCCAAAGACAGAGCCTTCCTTGTGGGTAGGGCTGGGAGCCTGGGCTGGAGGGGACCTTGGGGCCAGGTCACGGCAGGGTTTCAGTATTGGGGCAGTGAATCTGGGCTTCGTCCTGCGGGCACTGGGAGCCCCAGTAGGGTCTGTGCAAGGGGCCTCAACCAGAGCTGCCTTGGAGAAGACAGGAGCACAGAGGAGAGGCTGGAGACAGGGAGGTGGTGAGGGGCTGCTGTGGCCGCCCAGGCCCGGGGGACAGAGGGAGGAGGCTGAAGGGACCTGGGCAGGAATGCTGCCAGCTCCCGGCCTGAGCTGGATGGGAAGCTGAGTTCTTCGGCCCCAGCCATGCTCACCTTCTCGGCTGCCAGGCCTCAGGCTCTGCCTGCAGGTACCCATGAATCGCTCGCTTTGCTAATGAATGGAGTGAGATTTAATTAGCCTGCTGTGCAGTGCAGGGTGGCCCTGAGGAACCCTCCTCGCGGGCAGAGAGGCTGTGATTAACGGGTTTACTTTTCAGCGATTAATCCGATCGCTTTCCAATTGCATCCTCTGGGCCTTCTGAGGGGCCCAGGAGGGATCTCGTTTCCAGGGCAGGAGTGTGGCCGCACTTACCTTGTCCATGGTCCAAAGTCTAGGCAGTGGTATTGCTTCTGTGGCAGCAGCAGCAGTGGGTGGATAGATTTGAGTTAAGCGCGGAATCTGAGGCGTTTTCTCCCAGAGGAGCCATGGCGTGGGGGTGGCTGTGTTTGCAGGAGGCCCTGCGCTGGCCTGTCGGGCAAATCTGGCTTCATCCAACTGTGTCCTTGCTCTTGGGGCCTCCCAGACCAGTAGAAGACAGGCACGGAGACACACAGGTTACGCTTGCACTGTCAGACTGCATTTGGGCTGCTTGGAGGAATCCAGGTGGGCCTTGTGGCGGAAGTGGCATTGCAGCTGAGACTTCCTTCCCTGCTTCCCGTGCCCCATTCATCCATGGCACCTTAGCTAGCACCTAGGTAGGCGTGCAGTGTAGCAGTGCACCCTCTGGGCTTCCGACCCTGTCCCACCACTGATGGGCTGTGTGAGACTGGGTAAGTGACCTCGCCTCTCTGTCTCCTCCCTCATCTGCGATGTAGGGATAAAAGGTGGCTCCTGGATTACAGCAGGGAGTGGGTGAGCTGGTGAATGTGAAGTGCTTGAAATTGAGTGACTCACAGAAAAGGCTCACTGAGCATTTTGTGGTTATCCTGCGCCCTGTGCCACACAGGGTGACAGACATGGATACACAGCCTGGTAGAATGTTGCTGCTGTCTTGAACCTGGGTGTGGAGCCTGGGCCCTTACCTTCGCCCTTGTGCCCAGGCCCAGGTCCCCACCCTCTCCCCTCCCAGACCCCCATCCAGCCCGCCTCTCCCCACAGGTGGGCAACCTGGGCCTCCTCTTCATGCTACTCTTCTTCATCTATGCTGCCCTGGGCGTGGAGCTCTTTGGGAAGCTGGGTGAGTGGCTGCAGGGGGCCCTGGCAGCATGGGAGGCTTGAGAATGACCCCAGCCTGTCACTTGGGGCCACTGTCCGGGGCACGGCCTCTGGGCAGGTGGCCTTCGGCCTCCAAAACCTGTTTTGAAGTGGAGGACCAGACAGTCTGGTCTCTCTGGAGCCAGCTTTCCCTGCCCCTGGGACAGTGCCCTTTCTGAGCCAGTGCTGCCCAACAAGCAGAAAGGCCAGGGCAAGCCAGGCATGGTGGTGCATGGCTGTAATCCCAGCCTTCTGGGAGGCTGAGGGAGGAGGATTACAAATTCAAGCCCATCTGGACTTGTGAGACCCTGTCTGAAAATAAAAAATAAAAAAGGGCTGGGGATGTAGCTCAGTGTGAAGGCCCTGGGTTTAATCCCCAGTACTGCAAAAAAAGAAAAAAGAAAAAGCCAAGTTGAGTCAGAGGGCAACATGTCAGACTTGGCTAAGCACAGGGTTAGTTGAGAGCACTGAGTCCCCTGAGGGGTGGCCCTGCCTCATCCACTCTCTCAGAACCGCTTCTTAGTTGAAGGAAGAGCTGGGCGCTCCTGTGTCTGACCCCCAGCCACCACCTACCTGAGCCTGTTTCTCTGTCTGAGAGTGAGGCACAGGTGCATGCACCTCGGGAGAGGATTCTGGGGGGCGCTGGGAGGCATGAGTGCGGGCTGGCTTGCAGGGGCTCTGCCGGCCAGAGGGGCTGACCCTGCTCCCCTTGCAGCCTGCAATGAGGAGAACCCATGCGAGGGCCTGAGTCGGCATGCCACCTTCGAGAACTTCGGCATGGCCTTCCTCACGCTCTTCCAGGTCTCCACGGGTGACAACTGGAATGGGATCATGAAGGTACCTGTGGCAGGCTGGGGACAGGGATGTCGGGTGGCCTCTGCATCCAGGGTGGGTGTCAAGCTTGCTCATCACTCACCCAGGGAATGCCCCACTGCGTAAGAGGGGAGCACAGGGCCCTGTCCAGGACCCCATAGCCCAGTGCTGCAGAGCTGAGGTCAGGCAGGCAAGGCTGCCCTGAGATGGTCCGGGGGCGACACCTCTGCCTGGGGCCAGGGGCCTTTGGTCTAAACAGTGCCCGGGCTCAGCCATTTTCTGCACCCTGTCACCTACAGAGGGTTCCTGGGCTGAGGGCAGAGCTGAAGCTTGCAGCCCTTTCCTCCCCCACTGGCCTAACTGAGACAGTATGGGGCGGGGGGCACAGGGAGGCCGGGAGAAGCTGGCCAGTCACTCAGCCCTGGCACGGGGGTGGTGCAGGCTTCCTTGGCACTGTGGGGTTGGGGATTGAGCCACCCTGACAACCAGAAACCCTTTTTGAGCCTGACTGTGGCCCTGGCGGGGCAGGGCCGGCTCCAGCCAGGGTGTACTGGTTCAGAGCCACTGGAGACTGGGCTGAAGCTGAGGCAGGCAGGTGCCACCATAAGCCAGACAAGGGCACAGGGCATTTGGAACCCTCGTGGGGCTTTGAATCCTGGCCATGTCACCTGAACATGAGTGGCCGTGCTGGCGAGCAGGGCTGGTGGCCTCAGTGGTCACCGGCACCTCCCTGTGGGCACAGGACACGCTGCGAGACTGCACCCACGATGAGCGCAGCTGCCTGAGCAGCCTGCAGTTCGTGTCGCCGCTGTACTTCGTCAGCTTCGTGCTCACCGCCCAGTTCGTGCTCATCAACGTGGTGGTAGCCGTGCTCATGAAGCACCTGGACGACAGCAACAAAGAGGCCCAGGAGGATGCTGAGATGGACGCCGAGATCGAGCTGGAGATGGCCCACGGCCTGGGCCCCAGCCCACAGCCCCCTGCTGCCTCCCCAGGGGCTCCTGGCCGAGGACCAGGAGTGGCGGGCAGCGGGGGCGACAGTGAGGGCCACCGGTGCCGGCGCTGCTACTCTCCAGCCCAGGTGGGTGGGAGCTGGAGAGGGCCCGAGGGTCGCCAGGGGTTGGGCATGGCCAGGCTGGCAGGGCAGCCGGGCTGGGGAGGCCTTGGACAGTGACCTCTGTCTTTTGGGACTCCTCCATACCCTGCTTCGAGAAGGGGTGACCCTGTGACGAGGGGGCCAGTGCCAGGTCATGGGCACAGAGAACGGGAGGGCAGCTGTGCCCTGCACGCCCACAGTCCCGGGACCCAGCCGATAATGCCAGCTGTCCCCACCTCGTCCCCGTCCGCCTAGGAGACCCTGTGGCTGGACAGCGTCTCTTTAATCATCAAGGACTCCTTGGAGGGGGAGCTGACCATCATCGACAACCTGTCCGGCTCCATCTTCCATCACTATGCCTCGCCCACGCCCGCTGGCTGCAGGAAGTGTCACCACGACAAGCAGGAGGTATGGGCAACCCAGGAGGGGCTGGCACCATGCTTTGAGGCCCTGTCCCAGCCTCAGGGTGATCAGAGGCAACACCTCTCCCTGCAGGTGCAGCTGGCGGAGACGGAGGCCTTCTCCCTGAACTCAGACAGGTCCTCGTCCATCCTGCTGGGTGACGACCTGAGTCTTGAGGACCCCACAGCCTGCCCATCTGGCCCCAAAGACAGCAAGGTGAGCGGCCCCAGGGGACTCCCTGCACCCCAACCACTTTCCTGTGCAGGATGCCGGGGTGCACGGCTTCTGGGGCCTGGTGGAGCTCAGGCAGGGCGCAGTCTGGTTAAACAGGCCAGCCAGACTCAGCAAGTCATAAGGGTCTGGGTGGGTTGAGTCTGTCCACCTGGCAGGGGGCACCAAGGTAGCTCTGGAAGAGCTTGCTAGGCTGGGGTCCCCTTAGGCTGTGGGCTAGGAATGCCCAGGAAGAATGCCCAGGAAGAAAGAGCCTGGTGTTCCACATACCAGATCCGAGGCAGTGGTCCAAGAGGCAGAGTTTCTCCCTATTTATCGGAATAGAAATTGAGGCTTGGCAAAGGGAGGGGATCTACCCAAGGCCATATTCACAGGAACACCCATGGCCTCTCTGCCTGTCTTCTGATGGCCTTGTCCCCTTTGATGTGTCTGTTGCTCTGGTCCAGGGTCTGTACCCAGCTCTGGGTTAGAGAGGAGGAGCCTTGCTGTTCCCAAGGATCTCAGTCACCAGGGGAGTTGATGGGGAAGCCACTCACTGCCCTGAGGCTCCCAGAGGGCTTCCTGGGGGCTGGCAGATGGTGATCGTTGGCCAGGTGGGGTGGCAGGAGGAAGGGCCTTGCAAACAGTGGTGCTGTGCATGCAGGTGGCTGTGCCAGGCCAGCCTCGGTCCCCTCTCCATCTTCCCATCCCATCTGCCTCCCTTCCCTGCAGGGTGAGCCGGACGTCTCCGAGCCCATGCGGGTGGGAGACCTGGGCGAATGCTTCTTCCCCCTGCCCAACGCAGCAGTCTCCTCGGGAACAGAGAACTTCCTGTGCGAGATGGAGGCGATCCCATTCAACCCTGTCCGGTCCTGGCTGAAGCACGAGAGCAGCCAAGGTGAGAAGCACAGCTTTGCACACCTCATCTTGGGTGTGTGCTTCAGAGGGAGGAAGCTGAGTTTTTCCCCTGGTGTTTTTGCCCAGGTATTTTGAATTTAGTTCTGAAAGAACCAGATAGATATCTGGCAATAGGGCCTATATATCAATGGTAAAAGATCAAGAGCCAAATAATACAGTGATATGAGATAATAATTATAAGCCTAAACTAAGGGAATCCTTCATGCCGAGCCTCCTAGCAGCTGTGGTGAAAAGGGAATCAGGTTAGCACACACAAATCTCATTGTGAAGTAGAAGGATTACTGACAGATCTCTGAGATGAGTTTCTTGTAGAGCTGAATTTTAGATGCGTTTATCCTTATCTACATACAAGGTGATGTTGAGCAGCAGAAAGCCTGATTTTTTTGATAGCCCCTTTGTGAAACATCCTGACTTCTATCCTTTGGCACTGCTCCCAGCATCCTTTGGGGGTATTTGTGCTTTGGACTTGTGGTGAGGCTGTGGGTACAGGGTAAGAACTGAGATGCCCTGCTTGTCACTTGTGCTACAGGAATCTGGTTTCATAACACTGGCTGGGGAGGGGCCAGAGAGAGGAGGAGTCCGGTGGCAGAAGGACCCTGAGCCCACCCCAAGTGCTGCACTGGGATGTGTAGACTGGCACCTCTGGGAGCTGGGCTGGGGTGGCTTTTCCCAGGACCTCACCCAACAGCTGACAACTGACACCGAGATCCCAGACTTTCTGAAGCCGAAGTCCAACCTGAGAGCAATTCTGATTGGGTGGAACCCCACACCCTGGAGTTGTCTCTCATTTGTATTTTTCTTAAATGACAAGGCACTGAGATAAGGAATCCCACCAGGGCTGGCCAGCTGTCCCTCCATCTGGGTCCCTGCTTATACATCCTCCAATCGTGGGCACTAGGGGTCCCTGGGCAGAGGCTGTGGTGCTGGTCCCGTCCTGAAGACCCAAGGCCTCTCTAGGGTCTCCAGCCTGTCCTGCCCCTCTGTAACCAGCAGAGCAGACAGCCCCATGTGGCACTTGATTCTGTGCTGCCAGCCAGTACAGGACTGACCCGCCTGCTGCTCCAGGGGCCTGAGAGCTGACTCATCCTGGTGGTTGATCGCCTGCTGCATTCCTGTGCTGGGAGCTCTCCCTGCTTCTAATCCTCCCTTTCTATCCTCCCTCGAGGTGGGCAGCCGGCCCCATTCCCAGGCCTGGACTTGGTCTCTTTGGCACCAAAAGCTATGCTTCTACTAAGGGGCTGTCCTTCCAGGGACTGCCCTCCCAGCTACACTGGCTGCCTCAGTATTCCTCTCTTGCTCTCACAGTGGGGAAACTGAGTCTCAGAGACGGGGTCAGTAACCGGTTTGTTAGGGAGTCCTCTCTGGTAGTTCCAGGAGGGCATGTGCTGGGTGCCTTCCCTCCAGGCTGCTGCCAGCCTGAACCACCCCATGGCTCCGTCTCCTTCCTCCCCTGCAGCACCCCCGAGCCCCTTCTCCCCGGATTCGTCCAGCCCACTCCTGCCCATGCCTGCTGAGTTCTTCCACCCTGCTGTATCTACCAGCCAGAAAGGGCAGGAGGGAGGTGCCGGCGTGGGGACCCTCCCCAAGATTGCCCTGCAGGGTTCCTGGGCCTCCCTGCGGTCGCCCAGTGTCAACTGCACCCTCCTCCGACAGGTATGGGCACCTCCTGGGCTGGGGAGCTCCCTGCTGGGCCATCTGAGCCAGGTGAAGCCTGGAGGTGGGGGAGGGGAAGGGACGGGAGCCCAGCTATGCAGGAAGCAGTTGGGGAAAGTGAGGGGCTCCAGAGTCTGGGGGAGCACGTAGCAGGACCAGCCCCTGGGGCACCTGGGAGGTGCAGAGGGTGGAAAGGATCCAAATGAGGAGGCTGGCAGAAAATCCCTGGGCCCTAGCTTGGGGGGAGGGGCAAGGGGTACTGGGGAGGCTTTGCAGGGTGACGTATGCTGGAGAGTGGGAGCACCTTGGGGCCCCAGGGTGGGTGTGGCAGGAGCCAGGTGACTAGGAATAGGGGCAGAGGATCAGGGCTGGGGACAGGAGGTCTCGGCTGCAGGTCCCTGTATTGAACTGGCTGGGACCACTAGTTCCCTGGAACAGAGTCCTGTGCAGAGGCCCTTCAGACCCCAGCTGAAATGGGGTGGTGCAGGCAGAGGTGGCGGGTGCTCTTGTGGTCATCTATTCACTCAGAGATGATTGACCTCCCAGCAGCCACGTGCCAGGGTGCAGGGGACTTGAGAGTGTGCGACAGCAGGCAGGCAAGTGACACAGAGTCCCTGCCTCTCGGGGCTGACAGTTGAGTGGTGAGAGGGGGCAGCCTGGTGTTTGAGGGGAGATGATAAACAACTGCCCTGAAGGAAGGTACAGCCTGCAGGGTGGAGCTGTGTGGGGGCTAAATGGCCCAGAGGGGCACAGCGGAAGGGAGACGGGAGTTCCCTGAGGGGGTCATGGAGCGTAGGGGTGGGGTGAAGGAGCCTCGGGAACTAGGTGGGCAGTGAGGCCCGGGAAAGTGCTGGGGGCCTCTGTGAAGGGCAAGGCAGGCTCTGACTTGGGCTGAGAGAGACGACTCCGGCTGTCTCCTGAGGGTTGGCAGGGCAGGGACCCTGTGGGGACCTCGGGGGGGCCTCACTCCCACAGAGCTCCGACCAGAGGGCTGCCGCAGGGTCCTGGGCGTGCTCTGAGAGATTTCATCTGGGAATGGAGGAACCGGGTGCCCAAGCTGGGAAAGGTGGCACCCGTGTCACTGGGATGGGTGGGGAGATGGGTGGTCCTGTCCCTTCCTACCTCCCCACAGGCCACCGTGAGTGACACGTCGCTGGATGCCAGCCCCAGCAGCTCAGCAGGCAGCCTGCAGACGACACTGGAGGACAGCCTGACCCTGAGTGACAGTCCCCGATGTGTCCTGGGGCCACCAGCGCCTGTACCAGGGCCCCGGGCTGGTCTGTCACCAGCCACCCGCCGCCGCCTCAGCCTCCGGGGCCGTGGCCTGTTCAGCCTGCGTGGGCTCCGTGCACACCAGCGCAGCCACAGCAGCGGTGGCTCTACCAGCCCGGGGTGCACCCACCATGACTCCATGGACCCCTCAGATGAGGAGGGCCGCGGTGGCACGGGAGGTGGGGGTGCGGGCAGCGAGCACTCCGAGACCCTCAGCAGCCTGTCGCTCACCTCCCTCTTCTGCCCGCCCCCTGCGCCGCCCCCACCCGGCCTCATGCCTGCCCGGAGGTTCAGCAGCACCAGCAGTCTGGCTGCTGTCCCCGGCCGTCCCCGAGTCCCCACCGGCACCACCACCCAGCCCCGCGGCCTGGCCCGGAGCCCCTCATGGGCCTCGGACCGCAGCAAGGACCCACCAGGCCAGGCCCCGCTGTCCTCGGGCTTGGGTCCCTCGGGGCCTGAGCCGCAGCTGCACCCTGGGGACCTGGAGTCGGGAGATACCGCGAGCAAGAGGAAGAGATGAGGGGCCGCGGGGGCCGTGCCGGTGCCCACCGTGCACCCGCCTGCCCCGTTTCAACTTCTTTTACCTCAGGAGCCAGGGAGCAGACAGCAATACTTTGTCCACACCTGGGAATGGCTCGGGGACAGCCAGCCACCAGGCTGCCAAGTGGACGAGATGGAGGAGGGTCTGGGTTAGCCAGGCTCAGACGTGGACCCCGCTGTGGCCCAGCGTGGCCCTCCCAGTGCATATACATATATATATGCAGATATATATAGAGAGACAGACATATATATTTATTTATTTTTTTTACTGAGAGCTTATGACTTCCAGAAAGTGCTAAAGTTCGGGATGTGGCCAGGGTTTGGACAGGGGTCTTGTCTGCTGCTTGGGACCCAGGCCCACCCAGGGCAGAGGATCCTGCCTGGGCATTGACAGCGTAGTTTTGGTGTCTCCCTGGGTCGGGAGTAGCTTGAGAAGCTGAGCAGGGCTGCGGCCAGGAGACAGGTCCAGGTGAAGAGGTGCAATTCAGGGTATGCTTTTTTTTCCCTGTAAAGAAGAGACGCTGCTAAGATCCACCACCACCCCCCACGTGTTGGGGTGTCTGTCTTGTCCCTCTGACTGTCTCGTTGTTGTGAAGTCTTTTGTAGACACCCCTGAGCACACACTCCCTTAGTCACTGGTTAGATGTTTTCCTTAGAAAAATCAGGGGTGAGTAGTTGTATTTCTTAGGGCAGGGGTGGGGTGGTGGACAACTCTCAGGTCAGGCAGGGGGATCTGGCACAGTGAGGGTCTGGCTCCAGTGAACACTCTGGGAGCCCCCCCAAAGGTGAGTCCTGAGGTGCCGCTGTTCCTGAGGGCCTGTGATCGCCCTGCCCTGAGCATCTCTGCCTGTGCCACCTTGGAGTGCAGGGAACAGCAGGTCCGACAGGATTAGCAGGGGTGGGACATCTGTTCAGGCCCCAGACCAGCCTCTCCCCAGCCCAGCTCCTGCACCCTCCAGCCTGCATCTGCTGCTTCCCATTCACTTGTCCTTGGGTCTCTATCTCACCGTCCTGAGTTGCAGGTCAAGTAGTGCTTCCCAAACAGTTCCAGACGGGTGTTTTTTTATTTGAATACTTATGATGCATTTATTTCAGTATTTATTAGAAAAAATAAAATACACGGGAGCTGTGATTTCAGAGGCACATTGCTTAAGTCAAGGCTGAGTTCTAAACAGTGTGTGGATTTTTAAAGGAGGTCAGGAAGGTGTAGGTAATGGTGGTCCACAGAAACGCAGAACGCTGGGGCGGAAACGCAATGTGTTTGAGATCTGTAGCACCTTGGCCATCACGGGGCCTTTGTCTTTGCTTTTGCTGAGCTATCTGGGGACTTCTGCTAGGCCCTGCTAGGAGGTCTTGTCCCCACTCCCAAGGCCTGGCTTCACAGAAGTCAGCCTCCAGCCAGGCTGGTGAGAGGTCTGCTGTTAGGAAAGGGCTCTGGGCTTCCTTGGGGCTGGCATCCTGGGGCCTGGGTGCCGTGGTAAAGCCAGGAGGAAGCAGGTGCCATGCACATCTTTGGTGCAGGGCCCTTCCCCTTAGAGCCGAGGTGGTGAGGACATTTTACATCTGAGGAAACTGGGGCCCAGAGAAGTAAAGCAGGGTCCCCAGGATCTCACAGGGCCCTGGCAGCCACGAAGGCGAGGTGCCCGTGGACTGGGCAGAAAAGCCCATGTTCTGAAGTGAGGGTGGTTCAGAGGGCCCAGCGTAGAGCTGGCGGACTTGGCAGCCAGGGCCGGACAGGCCCCAGAGCCCCTGGGCTCCACTCTCTGTCATCTTTAGTCTGCAGGGCGGCCCTGTGCGTGTGCCCTAGCCTTTCCCGATGTCACCGGGTGCTGGGTGGCCGGGCGGGGAATATGACCACCAGGAGTGTCTGACACAAAGCAGCCCCTTTACACAGACTGGGTGGCCCCAGAACAAGCAGGTTGTCAGGGACGGTGGTCCAGGCAAAGGGACAGGTGTGAGCGAAGGCAGCCAGCCAGAGCAGGGCAGATGAAGGTGGGTGTGGCTGAGGAGAGAAGCTGTGGCCGGTAGCCGGTTCCTGGAGGGTCCCAAATACTTGTCCCAGACATTTGGCCTTGTTCCGGTGGGTGTCAGGGGACCAGGGACCAGGGAAGCTTGGCGTCACTGGCCAGGACAAGCCAAAGTGGATAAGGGTTGGGCAAAGGGCTCCTCCGCCCTTCCCGACCCTGTGGCCTGGGCTGCATATGTCTGTCACAAAAGCACAAACTTTACCCTCATCCACATGGGCCTGGCTGTGCGGAGAAGAGAGACCCTAAGGGTTTTGTTTTCAGGGCTGTGTGGAGTGGAGGCTGGGGGGACTTGGCATCGGTGGAGAGGGACCCAAGACCACACAGGCGGTGGCCTGCCCTGGCCAGCTGTCCTCCTGTCCCTTGAAGGAGGTCAGAGCTGCACAGTATCCGCCTGTCTGCCTGCCCTCCACCCAAGCCCTCTGTGTCCAGGGCCACCTCCAGCCCCCTTTGCCGCGCTGTGGAAGGGCTTAGGGTCCTAGAATCCTCTCTTTAGCCCAGACACACATACTCTTTTTGTCTCTGTGCAATAATCAGTGTTCCTGGCTGAGCCAGGGCCAAGCTGGGGGCTGGGGAGGAGGCAGGGACCATCTCGTCCAGGAAGCCCTCGCTGGCCCCGCTGCTGCCACTCTAGCACTCCCCGTGGCTGTGCAGTTTCTACGTCGTGATGAACTTCCCTCCTAGCTGCTGACGGCACTGGTCCCTGCTGGCCCAGAGGGCTCAGGCGCAGAGAATCCAAGCAGCAGCACGGCCAGTGTCGTTTTGAATAAAACCCCAGACACCTATCTAGGAATTTCTCCGCTTGTCTCTGCTCTTCTTTCCCTGGGGAGGGGTGGGGCGTCTAGTGGGGCTTTTCCTGGGGGGAGCAGGGTGTGTGTGACAAGCTGTCCTTTGTTTTCTGGCAGTGGGGCCTGGGGTGTGGCCGACCTAGAGATGACAGGGGCATCTCGTGAGTGGGGGCTGCAGGGCTGTGTTCTCTGGCAGTGTGGCTGAGGTCAGGGAGAGCGGAGCCAGGGCGACGGATCTACTCACCCTGGAAACTGGTTCCTGGTCTCATGCTGCCAGGACTATGAGGACACTTTGGGCTGCAAAGGATGAAAGCCCAACTCAGATGGGCTTACGAGTAAGGAAAGAGAAAGAATAGAAAAGAAGGGGAAGGAAGAAAGAAGAAAAGAGAGGGCAGGGATTTAGCTCAGAGGTTCTGCCACCTGCCTCACAAGCGCAAGGTCCCGAGTTCGATCCCTGATATGAAAAAAAAAAGAAGAAAAGGGAAAGGAAGGGAGGAGGGAAGAAACAGGAAATAACTTAGTGGTTCAAATTACATAAACGAGGGGGAATTGGGTTCAAGTGTAGCTGGATCAAGGGCATCACTGACACTGGGACGTGGTCTTATGGTCTTTCTCCACCTCTTGGCTCTGCTCCCTTTTGCATTTACTACCCTCCTCTCCAGAGGCTGCCTTGGCTCCAGGCTCCATCCCTGCCTGTTGTCCTCCCCAGATTAACAAGAGCCTCGTGTTGGGGGTGAGGTCCACCTCAGCAGCACTGGCAAGGTTAGAGTTAACTCAAGGTTAACACGCTCAAGGGGTCTGTTAGAGACTCCATGCTCAGATTGCCCCGGAGGAAATGCAGGGAGGTGCCCCAGGACTCCTCCCTTCCTGCTCAGCTCCCTGGAATCAGTCCGGATCCTGCTCTCCAGGGACTGCCTGGGGCCTGGGCACTGTAGGACCAGGGCACAGAGGGACGCAGACGTGGGCTCCAGCAAGCCCCATCCATCTCTCCCACTGTCACCCTCTGTCTCCTCGTATCTGCTCCCTCATCTCTGCCTTGGGAGCCCTTCTGGAAATGACAGAAATCAGTGCTGCTGTCTCAGCTCCTGGCAGGTCCCAAACAGATGACAGGACAGGCTGAGGCTGGGCATGCGCAGAGCACCTTGCTTCCCTGCCAGAGCTGTGTGGCAGATGGGACCCTTTAAAGGCCTTTCCTGCTTCAGGTGGCTGCCTTAGCACAGGGTGAGGGATGGGCCCAAACCGGAGCATGTGCAGTTGAGGGTCCACGTGTCTGAGTGTGCACATGAGCACGCAAACACAAACACCCAGTTCATACGATGCCGCAGATCCAGGATAACGGCCAGGCCCCAGCTCCTGCGCTGCCCCTGATCAGGAAGCTGAGGCCAAGCAAGGGCCTCTAGAGAGCAGGCTGAGCCCGAGTCTAAGTGCAGCCCTGGGAATCTGGGACTCAGGGCCAGCAGCTCCCCATCCTCAGCCCCTTTCCTGTGGGGCCCAGGCCAGCTGCCCAGTGTGGGTGCCAGGGGCCTGGAGGTGCCCAGCAAGCCTCGTGTCTCCATCCGCGTTTCTCGCTGCAGGCCTACTAGCTCCCCCTCCTGGACGTCCTACAGGGACCTCAGACCCAGTGTGTCCAAAACCCCGCTGTCCCTGGAATGCTGGGTGTGGCCTTGACCCCCCACCATGTCCCCTCAGGCATTGGTCCACCGCCTCTCCGGAGCCTCCTTTCCTTCTTCCCCTTCCTGCTGCACCCTGAGCCCTCTTGGCCAGGATGTCCCTGGGTTGTCACACCACCTCTCACAGTCCTGCCAGTGCCAGGCCAGTGTCCTGTCCCCAGTAGGCTCCTCCTCACCTCCCCACAGCCAGAGATGATGCCCTGGGCCCCTGCTGGCCTCACCCTGGCAGCCCCTCTTCCAGCCTTTGTGCCTGCTGTCTCCACCCTGCTTTCTCATCTTCTCCCTACGGCCCCAAGTGACTGTCAGAAGGGACTCGCCTTCCTTCCAGGAACTCTCTTCCCTCCCAGGGCCCCCGGTTCCGCCATGGCCTCCTCCTCGCTCTCTGCAGGACCCTAAGGCCAGGCGCCTGCTGGGTGCCAACCCCAGAGCTCCAAGTCCAGGGCACATGTCCCTCCTGGCTATCCCCATGACCCCACTGTGCTCAGTAGCTGGCAGTGCGGTGGCCACCTCATCCTGCTGCACCCAGGTCTGGCTGCCGTGTGAGCCCCACAGGGCTATGGGGCGGGTCCAGCCCCTTGGCCGAGGGTCTGTCTCATCCTGTCCTAATTCTGTCCCAATTTCAGAGATGGCTCTCATGGTCCTGGCTGCCTGAGCCTGTCCCTGGCCTCCTGCAGGGATGGGGCCTACCATGGAGCCCCACCTGTCCCCTCCTCTTGCCCTGCCTAACACTCACTCATGCCTTCTTGCTCAGCTGGAATGCCACTTCCCCTGGAAAGCCTTTCTGGCTGCTGCAGGTGTTGGATGGGGGCTCCCCCATTGTTCCCCTGCCTACTACTTCTTTCTCTTACTCTCCTTCCTCCCCGGTGTCATGTCTGTTTCTTGACAAAATCCCCCATCAGACTGCCCTGGCTCAAGGACAATGACCATGACTCCTCCTTCCTGCCTGGAGCCTGGCATGGCCAAGCATCAAGGAGTGTCACCCATGTGGCCGGGCTTTGGAAGCAGAAGGGCCTGTCTCTCTTTCCTCTACCCAAGGAACCCAGTGCAGAGCAGCATGATGTATTCCAGGTCACAGAGCAAGGTGCAGGGTGGGGGGGACCCCCAGTGGCTGTACCACCTCTGAGGCCAGGCACCTAGCACCCAGCACCCCTGCGGCCAGCTGCACAGGCTCCTGGGGAGCAGACATCTGCTGTGGCTCCCGGTCCCTCACCCATTAATAATGGGATTAAAAGCAAGTAGCTGCCAAGGAGAGAGACTGGCTTGAAAACACAACTAAGACCTGATAATATTTTAAGAGACTAAAAAACTTCAGCCATCAGCACTTCTTATTTAGACGTGAATTCATGAATTTTAACCAAATAAACACAGGCATGTTAGGTATTAATATATGTACGATTATGTAAAATCACTATTATGGCTGTAATGAAAATTAGATTCTGGCTCGGTGTTGGCATCCCAGGAGGGAGGCATCCCCTTGGTTTCCAGTGCTGTGACCTCCCATTGCTGTTGCCATGGTAATGGGGCTGCTGTGGGAATCTGTGGATGGAGGCTGGTCCTGGGGGGGGGGGCGGGGCAGAGCTGTGGACCTGCAGTCAACTGTCTGCCATCTGCAAAGCTAAGAAGAGAGGGGACTTGGGACAAATTTGAGAGGTTAGAGTGGGCAGATGCAGCGAGTACCCAGTGGCCCCTGCTCACCCACATCCCCAACCTGGGCTCAACACCCCTTCTAGGGAGGCAGCCCTGTCATCTTTCAGTATCTATTCATTGAGTACCTTCTACGTGCCAGGCTTGAGCTAGGCCCCGGGGACATATCAGTGACAGGTCTACCTGCTTGTCAGGGCTCACATCTTAGAGTGGGAGACAGAAAATAGACAAGCAGACACAGGAGGCAGGCCACCTCAGAGCCTGCAAGGGGCACACAGGTGAGGGGACGGGGAAGTGGTAGGGGGTGACCGGGAGGGTCGTTCTTTTGTCCCATATGGTATTGGACATGTTTACACTAATGTGCACGTTACCTACTGGAAACTGGGCTTTGACCAGGCACCTCATTCTTCTTTCTAGTCCAGCCAACCTGCCAGAGTGCAGGGGTGACCTGACCAAGCCATGAGCTATGAGGAGCCACAGCCTGCCCCTGTGCCCTGGCCCTCTTAGAAGGCTGTCCTCACCATCTCCCCTGTAAGCCCTTGTCACCTAGCTGGGGGTGTGGGCATCGGGGTGAGGTGCCATCAGTGCCCCCCTTCCACACTTCCAAGGCTCCCAGGCCCTGGTGGTGCTGGTCCTTACCCACCACCAGTGTGACTTTATAGCTACTCACCTGCACTGTCCACCTTGCCTCTCGCCTCTGCTGGGCACCCCACTTCACTCCCCCTCACCTTTCTTCAGCCTTCAAGCCCCATCGGGGTCACTGTGTTGAGAAAGCTCATGCAGCTCCGCTTGTACCCCCCACCCCCTCGCTGATGCTCAGCATTTGACATTTATTTGTTTATTTGCTGTGGTACTGGGAATTGAACCCAGGGTTTTCATACTGAGCTATATCCCCAGCTCTTTTGATTTTTTATTTTGAGACAGGGGCTTGCTAAGTCACTAGTAGTCCAGGCTGGACTTGGAACTTGCCATCCTCCTGCCTCAGCCTCCTAGAGTGCTGGGAGTGCTGCAGGTTTGGGCCACCACATCCAGCAGCATTTAATTTTAAAAAATATCGTGTGCATTGTCAGAATTCAACAACTGACTTCCAAGATCCACGCACTGTGTGTCAGTGTGACAGCAGAAACAGAACGATGAAACATTTGGGGAAAGTGTGCTCATGTCTTCAGTTTGCTCTGAAATGCATCAAAAATATGTATGGGTAGATGGAGAGAGGGATGGATGGATGAATAGATGCGTGATAAAACAAGTGTAATGAAATGTGAACAGCAGAATTCTAGTAGGTGAGTGAAAATTCCTTCAACTTTGTTCTGTTAGAAGATTTCATAATAAAATGTTGGAAAAATTTTATCTAGTAAATATTCAAAAATTAGAGTCTTGGCATTGTGGTCTGGATAGTGAGACACCACACCTCTGTTGGGGACATTTCACATGTGTGTCTCGTTTCCACCTAGGATACCTCACGAGAAAGCGGTGATGGGTCCCAATTTACAGATGGGGAAACCGAGGCTGGGAGAGCTCATTCAGCCAAGGTTATTCAGTAAGGAGGCAGCAGAGCTGGGGTTTCTGTGGGTCCAGATGATCAGAGAGTGGGGCTGTGTTGATCTGGGGCATTATTTTCCTTTGTGCCTCAGTTTCCTCATCTCTGAAGCAGAGGTACAAATTGCCAAATGGGTGAAATCA